TGAAATTAAAATTAATTATAAGGATCACACATATTTGATAGTCAATTATCTGAAAACTATTCATTTGAGACTAATTTCATTTAAAAGAAATCTTGAAACAAGTTAAAAATAAATAAAAAATTTAAGTGCAATTTATTTCAATCTTTCAGTTTTCAGGTTTACAAACTTATTCTAACTGATTAAACTAAATATAAAAATCAAGATTATTTCAATTTTTTTGGGAATAAATGATATTACTTTTGAGCTATATTTTACAATAAAAATTAAATTAAAATTAAATTAAATTATTTTTCGGATAATTTTTGCACATTTTATCTTGTTTTCTTATGCTATTGGACTTAAACATAAATCAATATTTCTAAATTTGAATAAAAATTTTTGTACATTGATAAAAAAAAATTATTTTTTTATTCATCTGTTTTTCAATATTTCTTTTATATTTCAAATGCACAAGATCTTGATAAAATAAAATAAAACATTTGAAGATAGAGATATGTGATTTATTCTAATCTAAAAAACAATGAATTACAAGATTAGAGACTCTTTACAAAACTTGCAATAGATTGTAGACAAAATTTCCAAGATTTTTTATACTGTAATACTTATTCATTTTCTGTGCTAAATATAGCTTTATTTGCACTCATGATAATATTTGAATTGGATTTGGTATTTCATGACATGAACTTTATTATTCTTGCAAGGACAAAACTGCATTTTAAAAGGATTACATAACATGTGTTTGTGAGACTTGCAATAATATTTAGAACACATTTTTTTCAGAATATAAACAGAAATGAAATTACATTTATCTTCATTATCTAAGTAATAAGCAAATCCTATGTGATTTATCTATTTTTTAAGATATTTATGCATGATTTGCTAATCAAATCTTAATTTAGCATTTATTGTATTCAGATTTGAATACATGCTTGTGTCATGCCAAAAAAAATTCCCTGAAAAATAACTAGATATATTGTTAATATTAATAAATTATAGGGTAATTATATATATATATATATATATATATATATCTTAAATAAGTTATATTCAAATATATTCAAATGAAATTATGACCGGTTAAACTTGATTGAAAATTATTAGCTTTTTATTAACTTTTTAAAATCCAGAAAATTTGCTCTTTGGTCTTATTAGATTTTCATTACAGATGTTGCAAAATAAATTTTTTAATGATCACATAGTTTATCTCAACAACTTTTGATTAATCTACAATTTAGGATTATTTAAAATTTTGAAAATTTCATCAATATCAAATGTCTATATTTATTGACATTAGCTATTAGATGCAATTATGCAACTCGTTTTGTGAGATTATATATTTATCTAATTTTTAATTGTGATAAGAATTTTTCCATTTCAATTCATGAAAATGAAAAGATCAAAGCTTTTACGGAGTTAGAAAATATGTCATATCTTAGAATTTTTTCTGGAACTTTGAATTTTCATATCAAAATGGTAAATCGTTTCATTTCTTAAAAGTTCAACTTTTCTTGTTATTTTTATCTTTGATATTTCAAGTGTTTCAAGAATGTCTTGTTGTAATGTAGAGAATATTTTTTCAAAAAATAGATCCTAAACAAGTTGATTGAATCTCTTTATCAATCCAAATCCTACACTTGATAAAACAAGAAATAACATGACGACAAGAACATGAAGAGTATGACAAACAATTTGGTTTGTCATACTCTTCAGTCTACCACACTGCTCAACAATTAACGTTCATACTGTATATGATAAGATGGTCCAATGTTTCTTCCCTATCTTTTTGGAGAGGATGTGAGATCATGACCATTCTCGGTTCTTTCTTTCATTCATTTTTTCTTTCTTTCTTTCTCACACACTGTCATCTCCTCTTCTATGGTTCTCCATTTGTTTGTCTCTCTATGTGACTGTCCATGGCTCTAGTAGAACCCCAAACTCTGGCTCTAGGTGTTTTTGGCAGGGGATTCAGAAGCTTGGACGGAGAGAAAGTTGAATGGTATGGGTGGAGGCCCATCCCGGGGCAGCATGAGTGGCTCATTCAAGAATGGGGTGTGGTTTGCGACAGATGGGTTCGTGACACTACTAATTAATTCATTGTACTATGCTAGTGGCAAGATGACTGGACGGAGGTAGATGGAAATGGACGGGCTGGGTCGAATGTCCCCTACTAATATGGGATATACAAATTCAGCGCAGACTTGGCTATTTTCTGATCCATTGATCGCTGAAAGTCTGCCAAATTTGGAGCTTTAGGGCGTACAAAACAGATCAGCATCACGTCACAATATCGACATCGATCGATCGAGCAGTCACCAGGAGCCGGGTGACATGTTTCGTCTGCCCATCATACCATCACTCCAAGTTGCGGGCGTGGGGTACCATCTAATTATTTGCTAAAAGAAGAATCTTGGATGTAAACTGGAGATGATTCGCTATATATATACACCACATCATATAAGAGCGCGCCCTAGGATTGTGGACGTTTTGCCTTTGCTTTGGAGGGCTTCCTGCGCTTCAGCATCCGTGTTGTGCTTAGTATCGCTCTCCGATCTCCTTCCGATTTTACCATACGGATGCATAATTACATACTTCCATTTTTCCACATAGGTTATATAAGGAAGCTTCATGCCATTTTTGCAGATTCGAATCGCAATGTTTGCCCGGTGTCCTATGGTCAGGGAGATGCATGTATTTTTTCAACTGGCTACCTTCTCAGCAAGCGAATGAGAAAAATGCAGCAAAACGATTCATTCCACAAATATGGATCTGATTTTTACATATCAATGTATCGTGGAATGCATGTTCTATCAAATAGAGAAGAGATGTCGTACAAGGATGGGGCGAGCCCCAAATGGAGAAACATTGTGCTATCAAATAGAGAGGTGATGACGTAAAAGGATGGGGCGAGCTCCAAATAGAGAAACATCATCTATAATAGAACGCACTAAAGTCGTGATATTACATCACAACAACTATAATTACGCGTATTATGTGTTCCTTCCTCATTCCCGTCCTGTTAACAGTTCTCCTATCTTAGCGCACCTGCTTAAGTAGAACGACATAGATTCTACAAGGCGACAATCTAGATACAGCCGTGAGGAGATTGGTCACGTGCGCAGACGCTCGGTCTCCTTAAATCAGGCACTGCCTGGCTTCCGCCCGCTCATCGCCCGATCTGCTAACTGACACGCGAGATCTCCCCCCACACAATCGCCGTATCGACCAAACTGGTCGATGTCGTCTGCGCTCTATAGATCGGGCCCGACCCCAACAGGTGTGCGCAGCTTCGGACGCCGTCCGTCTCTGCCCTCTTCTAGCGAGAGCTCTTCTCATGAAGTTTCGCCCACGCGCAGTTCTTTCTACTTGCACGCCGACGGCGACGGTGGCCCTCGCCTGGCCATGCTGACGTGGCTGCAGGGTTCACCTCCTAGCACGTGGGGCATCTGTCTCGGAAAAGTCGACGGGTCTAAGGCTCAGTTCCTCCCTTCCCTACCCCACCCTCTCGACCTATTGACGGATCCTGTCGTCAGCTTTCTTTACCCCTTGACTTTCTTAGTGTACCTTACGTATAAAGTAAAAACACAAGAAAGTAAGGGAAGACCAAATCAAATCCCATATGGATGGAAGCAAACGGTTAACATGGGTGTGCACCAATAGCATCACTGTAAATGTAATAAGTAAATCACATTACAGTTTAGCGTAAATCGATCTCGATTCGTGAAGAGTTAACGGATAATCATGGGTTAACATGGGTTCTTGACTAGAGAAACCACTAGTTGGCGGGGATTCCTCTAGCTAGAACACATTATGTTTATAGTAAAGTACGTCTCGTACATGTGATTTATTACCTAGAGAAGTCGTTAGATAGTTGCTTAGCTGAGATATAGGTTGTATCTAATAGTATGATTTGGATTACACGTGAGTAGTAAATGAAGGTGTAGATAGGTGGATTAACACAACGAGCAAAGAAATGGTGGAGGTAAATGCAAAGTACAATCATTTTGTTTTCAGATTAACCTGGTGTTTGTAGGTTTAGCCTTTATCGGAAATACTTTTTTGGGACTCAAAGGTGTCCGTTAAGCGTATGAATTATTAGAAGGTGTTCTAATCTCTGGAGCTACGTACATACATATGCATCCATAATCAAACGTGTTGATCGAGGTACATTTGATGTCGATTTGAATGTGGCAACTCGATTTGTGGAGACCTACGTGGTCCAAATTAAACAAAAGTCTATGGAGTGAAATGGCAGAAAGGAGATGCATGAAAAGACGAAGCAAAAATAATGTGGTGCAACGGTAGGCAAGCAGAGAAAAGCTACCAAGGGCATAGACAAACGGGAAACTCAACAGGAAGATCTAGATGTGTAGAAAACCACCGGACCTGCAGAAGTGACCAAACAGCGAGATCTTTGGCCGGGAAACCATCGGATTCGCAAAATCGACCGAAAATGGAGTTCGAACTCCTGCAATGAAGCAATGGTAATCCGGATCGAAAGATAAAGCATTTAATGAAAGCTGAGGCCGTTGCAAGACTGAAGCCCCCGGGTCCGCAGGGATATACTGTAGTAGGGTTGCGGGAATGATACACTTGTTGTGATATCTCCGGTGGATTTGACGTATGTCAACGCGAAGCTTATCCGAAGTCGTAAAGTTAAGCGGGTAGGTAAACCCCAGTTAGCTGTGAACCCAAGTGGTGTTAGCAATGGGAGAAACGTCCACGGGTAAACAACTCTATGACTAGTTTTGGCGGTCCAGCCAAAAGCAGATGAAAGGTGGTGTAACAAGTGGATAAGAGATAGTAAATCCGATGACGGGAAGTCAAGCAAAAGCAGGTCAGATCAACGACTCTTTTCCAGCACCGGACCTGGGAGTAGGTTCGGTGCTGACGGAGTCCTTACAGAGCCTAGGGATACCGCCGGAGGCAGCCGGTGGCGCGGCCGGTCGGAGGTGAAAGATCACCGGACGGCCCACTAGAGTCCTGTCACCGTATGCACAACGATGGATCCACGGGCTCACTGCGGCGTCCGTGGATTACAGCATCCGGCGGCTGCGACCGGCTGCCAGGGACATATATAGTAAAATCGTCGAGAAAGGAGGAAGCGTGGAGACAGACCAGGAGGATCGGATTGCAAGCAGCTTGAGAGACAACGGGGACGAGGAGACGAAGAGTGGAAGGCGAGCCAGGCAGGCTGGCGCAGCCAACGGCGGCGTGAAGCAAAGGAGCAGCGAGAGATCGAGTCGGTAAATTGAGCTGGATGGTGGGCGAGTTGAAGATCACAGTAAAGACGGAAACTGACGAGGCAAGCCATGAAATTCCATATTTGAAGCCGAGTTCGTCGGCTGCTGCAGGGCACTGCAAGGCTTTATAACCGCTTTGTTCCGGCGGATCAGTCACACAGTTCCGCGGTCCGGAGCAGTGGCAAGGAAATCAGCAGCGTCTTGAATCTGTAGCCTGGAAGGAAAGTCTGATAGCGGGTTGTGTGGGGCCTCAAGGAAAGGGCTTGCCTGCCTGCCTGCCTGCCTGCCGGTTATTAGCTGCCTCGCCGAGACAGGGGGAGCGGGAGACGGAGGGCTCCTTGATCGATCCAGTGCAGCTGCTTCCCCCATTGTGAGTGCTTATGTGTCGACAGATCCTTCGACTTTCTAATAACCTCCTGCTCTTTCTCCGGCTTAGCGAGGTGGCATTCTCTTGTGAGAGCTCTCACTCTCGCAAGTCTGCTCCCGTCTCTTCGTTGGAATGCGTATGAATCGGTTGCGAATCTTCCTCGTCCACGCAGTGCGCTCCGATAGTGTGTGTTTCTGAGTCAGTTCAGGTGGCAGGTCCCCTCTCGGTGTCATCATAGTCATGCTGAATTGTCCTATCCCGTTTCATCTAGGCTCAGAGCCGAGCACCGCTTTGGTATTTAGGCCCAAACCTCTCGCTTAGAAAGACCTCTTCGGCACCACATCGGTGTTTGAGCAGAGCCTGGGACAGTTGGAGATCATTCAGTGAGTGAGTGAGTCCGTCCATCATAGGTATCAAATTCAGCTTAGCTTTCCCCTCAGCTCTCACCTCGGCCTCTCCAGTTGATGCCTGGCTTTGGATTGATTGGAATGTGTAGTCTGTGTGTGCATTTCTTTCCTGCCCATTCTCTGACGCTGGCGGCTGCTGCTCTGTCATAAAACAGGATTTGAGGTCGAGAACTTCTAGCTACAGCAATGGCAGGAGGTGGAGTGGTGTCCGGGCCGTCGGGGAAGCACTATGAGGGACATGTCACGCTGTTCGTGGCCCTGGCCTGCATCGTCGCAGCCAGTGGCGGTCTCATTTTCGGTTACGATATTGGAATTTCTGGAGGAGTCACTTCCATGAAAAGTTTCCAGAGGAAATTTTTCCCCAGACTTCTCAATGCCCATGACAGGAACACCTACTGTCGTTTCGACGATCAGGTAGTCCAGATTTTCACGTCCTCACTGTATCTGGCTGGGTTGATCTCCACTTTCTTCGCAATGTGGACCACCAGCCACTGGGGAAGGAGGCCATCCATGTTGATCGGAGGTATTGCCTTCTTGGTCGGTTCAGTCCTCAACGCAGCCGCCGTCAACTTGGCTATGCTCGTCATCGGTCGTATCGCGCTCGGTGTGGGTGTTGGTTTCGGAAATCAGGTGAGTCGATGTTGGCTCTGGCCTACGAGTTAAGACGAAGAAGCTGCATGCCGTCTCTTTCTTACGCCTCGAGCAGTCGTAACTATTAATCGATAAAGTAAATTTGTAGGGAGTACGAATATGGATGATTCCCTTACCATAATTAATGAACTGTTTGAATCGCTACCGCAGGCTGTCCCACTGTATCTCTCAGAGATGGCGCCCGCAAAGCTCAGGGGAGCTCTGAACATCATGTTCCAGTTGGCGACTACCATCGGTATCTTGGCTGCGAACTTGATCAATTATGGAACTGAAAAGGTCGACTGGGGATGGAGGCTGTCTCTTGGACTGGCTGCAGTGCCCGCAGGAATTCTGACGTTGGGAGGTATGTTTCTCCCCGAGACACCCAACAGTTTGATCGAGCGCTCCAGGCACGACGAGGGGAAGCACATGTTGGAGAAGATCAGAGGAACGCCTAATATCGGCCCCGAGTTTGACGACATCGTTGAAGCTTCCAACGCCGCCAAGGCCATCCAGAACCCCCTGGGCAACTTGTTCAAGAGGCAATACCGACCTCAGCTCACCATCGCCATTCTCGTCCCCTTCTTCCAACAGGTCACTGGTATCAATGCCATCATGTTTTACGCCCCAGTGCTGTTCCAGACCATCGGGTTCGGGAGCGACGCCTCTTTGTACTCCGCTGTCATCACCGGAGCAGTGAATGTGGTAGCCACTCTCGTGTCCATCGGAACCGTCGACAGATGGGGTCGTAAGATTTTGTTCTACGAAGGAGGAATTCAGATGTTCGTCTGCCAGGTATATAAATTGAGTTGTGCTTTTGGTTTAGAAAGAAATATGGGGATCGAGAGATTCTGTTTTAATAGTGGTAGTAACACACAGCTTCTTCTGTTCTGGTTCTAATCGGCTTGTGGGGTGTCCAATCGATTTCAGATTGCTATCGCTGTCATTTTGAAGTTCAAGCTCCCATTGGCAATTGGAAGCGAGTTGTCGAAGGGGTGGGCCGCCGTCGTGGTGGTTCTCATCTGTGTGTACGTGGCTGCCTTCGCATGGTCATGGGGTCCTCTCGGATGGTTGGTGCCATCTGAGGTGTTTCCTTTGGAGATTCGATCTGCTGCCCAGTCTATCACAGTGGGAACCAACTTCTTGTTCACATTCGTTATCGGTCAGGCTTTCTTGACCATGCTCTGTCACTTCAGATGGGGAATTTTCCTCTTCTTCGGTGGATGGGTGTTCATTATGACCCTCTTCGTCTTCTTCTTCTTGCCTGAGACTAAGAACGTTCCGATTGAGGAGATGGTGTACGTCTGGAAGGCTCACTGGTTCTGGAAGCGATTCATCGGTGATGAAGTGTACTCTTCTTACCCCACCGACGTCGAGAAACACAACAATGCCAAGCTGTAGAATGACTGAGATGCAGTGAAACGACAAAAGTTTTCATTCTTCTTATTCGCAGCGTAGATTCAATTGAACCTAACGGATTGATGTACATATACAACTTGAGCAGGCTTTTCCTTCTCCTTTTCACTCATATGGGGTAGTTTAAGTAGGTTAGGTCTGCCAAATGGCAGTATCTGGCTAGTTTATAGTTAGGCGGTAGTCAGTCTGTTAGGAGGCATGCTTCAGTTCGAGGTGTGCAGGAATCCGGATGGTTTAGTGTTCTCATTTTTTTCAGCAACCGGAAAGAGTTGTTAAATAATGTGTTCCACACAACCTTCTGGCAAAGATCTTTTCTTTGCAGTTTTTCTCAGTAAAGATGATTTTTCTCACTGAAGACTACGGTGAGATCGGAGTGAGCTCCGATCTGCCTGTGCGAATGTTTGCAGACAAAAGCACTCAGTGCCACATGCATGTATGTTGTGCTATATTCTGGTTCAGTGCAGTTGTCTTGGTTGAGTCTATTTTATACGCCTTAGGAAAATGTGGAGAATTGTGAGATGTATGAAATCTGTGTTTTGTGGTGGTCTGAACGTGACAAAAATTGAAGCTAATATGTGACTACAATAGCACAAGCTTGAGTTTTAATTGGTCGAGTTGATAATTCCATCGTAGAATTTGCTTTGCAGGGAAATGTAGGGTGCGTAACTGGTAAAAAAAATATGTTGCATAGAAAACGATAATTGCCCTATACTTCGAGTGTTTATCATTGTGTTCACTACAGATGATGCTGTGATGTTAGATGTCAAATCATTTGTTAGCTGATCGTGTACTGTGGAAGTAGCGGTGAATGAATTTTGAATGCTTTAGTTCGAAAGAATAGATATTATGGGTGGTATAGTTGCCAACGAGTTAATTTCAGACCGTTTCTGTAAATTCTGAGCAACTGCACTCCATTTAACTTAATATGAATCAACATCGAAAACTTCATCCAGAATCTGCCGACTCGTCAAATCCTTGGAATCAAGTCATAAAACACGTGCACACGTAGGGCTATTCATCTGACTGCATGTCTACTGAGAGAGTGAGAGAGGTTACAGATTCGAGCAGTAAGGAAAAGGGCCAATGGGAGGGCGAGGACAAATAGGACAGCAGGAATCCAATTCAGCCGCCCCTTTCCGAACGGAGATACCTTCCGGACAGGTGTTACTGCGTAATGTTCATTGACTTGGGGCTTTGATTACAAGTGACGACAACGAGCATAGCAACAACAAACAAACAGTGGCTTCGGCAGGCGGAGAGTAGAATGGCTTTTGGATTTAGGTCCACCACACATCCACTGCATGTGAACTCAATTCATCTCGAGGAGGAATAATCATATCGGAATACCAATCCAAACCATCCCTCGAGAAACATACCCTTGAGAAACGGTCTCATTACCGATCACCATTTGTCCCTCGGAGTTCATGTCGGCTTCTTCTATATATATACGTCGCTGTCAAAGGGTAATTTACCTGCTCCTCCCAGTCAGTTAGTATGCTTCGAGCGTCGATTAATCTAGCGGCGTTTTCAGAGAGTGAATTCACCCCCCTGCTCTTACCTCCAAAGTGCATATTCCTTAATAGGACTTTTTTTTAAGGGCCAATCAGGCGTCGTTCGGGTTCAGCTCTAACGAATATTCGGCCGCAAAATTGGGCTGTCTTTCGTCGGTAATTAGGAGGCACGGACAGGAGGTGGATTTGGCCGATCCCGCTTACATCGCCCGTTATCCGTTGGCGGTACCGTTTAGCTGGCCGGACACTAGAGGGAATAGGATATCAGTGAACTCCATATTAATGTCTCCACTTTTTTTGCCACGTCAACGTCGCGCAAGCACAGTCAGATTGTCTTAATCTTATACCCTAAACCCCTGTTCTCCGGATTGCCAGATTGTCATCCTCTCTCCTCATGCAAATCAGCAACATTTTGCCGTTGGGTTGTCGAGAGTTGAAAAATTTGGGAGTGATGGAGCCTGCTATGTTTTCCGTTGCTAGTATGTTTGATGCATCATCTAGTGAGTAATTGACCTATTTTTCTTCTTCTTTTTTATATATGGTGAAATTAATGGGTCTGACAAACATCTGTCTGATGATTTTCCTATGTCAATTTGATACAAAGTTTGGTCAGCTTGCAACAACTAGACGAGAGCTGGATTCGATGTTTCGCAGTTTGGATCTTTGGATGTTGCTTGGAGGAGACAGGAAGGGAGAGACTCAATTTGTGCCTGTACCTGTGTCTGTGCGGTCAAATCCAGCTCTGTGTAACGCCAGGTGGGGGTTTTGAAGGTGAAGACGAGAAGGACGAGCAGGCGTTCGTGATAAGAGATCATGACTTTTCTGGAATGGTACTTGACTCTTCCGGCTCCTTGTCCGCAACTTTCGCTCGATCTGTTTGCTCACGCAGTTCCTGACCTCTCTGCTATGGGGCACAATCTTGCGGAAGACCACTTCGAGTATCAGTGAAGAGTCTAAAGGGTGTTGTTTTTCTGGAGAGAAGAATATTTGTGCAAGATAAATGTGTCTGTTTTGGAAACGAAGGTAATTGATCCAATGACAGATAGTCATTCAGAGTGATTCGCAAGGACATTAGTGTTTGTAGTCGTTGAAATTTCACGTCGTTGGTCGATATTTTGGGATGAGACTTTCGATGAGAGCAGCATCACAGTTTGCCTCTATAAGGACACACAACAGGAAAATGCTGAAAATAATCTCATTCAAAGTGTGGAAGTTCTCAGATCACTGGAGGGCCCTATGTAGCACTCAGATTTCTCGGCTTTTGCACAAAATATGCTTGTGTGTACTTTTTTAAAGGGAAAACGTTTGATTGCTGTTTCCCAACCAGATTGGGAATGTTTCGTACAATGCAAGGACATACCAGTGAATTTGTATACTAGTGAGCATCACACCAAGACTTTCAAATATGTGTTGCTTTATGCAGAGTTAGTTACAATCATGCCTGGCAACAGGGTCAAAACATAAGGCTGTCAAGAAGATGCATCACCGCCATTGTATTTATCAAATTGAGGTTGGGGCTTCTGGCATCAGTGAAGATTATTGGTTCAGCTGATTTGTCGCCACTTTGCTTCAGGTTTTACATGTTCGGGAGTTTTCCTTCCATCAAGTTAATGCGAACCTTTTATGGCCAGGAGCAGTCCTATTTGCTGAGTGGATTGTGGAGCATCACAAGCTTTTGGAAGGAAGAAAAGTTCTGGAGCTTGGCAGGTCTGTCATTTGTATAATTGTTTCCAGCTCACATGCTCCTAGATATGATTCCAGTGCTCAGATTTTATTTGGAAGTGTGTATCACAAATGTGTGGTGATTCGAACCTACAAATTTGAAAGTGATGGTAGTTGCATGGTGTTGTTTCTTGCATATCAGCTGAGTATGCATTTCTTCATGCTTTGTTCTTTAATTCAGTACATAAGCAGATAATTGCACCTCTATTTAGTGGAGATACTGAGATATGCGTAGAAACAATTCCCTTGGTTTTGTAGTGGAACGGGAGCTCTAGCTATATTTCTGACGAAGAAATATGGACTGGACGTCACTACATCTGATTATGATGATGTAGAAATCGAAAACAATATCAAGCTCAACTGCGAGTTGAATGAGCTGTCAGCTCTGCCGCATATTAGACGTAAGAGTTATTGGGATCGTCAGACTGCTACAAATGTTTTTGTCTCTGAAATGGATATCACCCACATATGATATAACTTGTGAACTGGATAGGATCTTATGGCCAACCTCTTCTTAAGTATGTTAAAGAGTGGCGCTCTTGTTTGTCTATCTTTATATTGTGTAGTCCTGCTATCATATCAACAGAAAGATAAAATTGAAAAACCAATTCTCGAGAGAGTCACCACTCTGCACGTTAACAACGTGCTGTCCATATTTGCACTTTATGACATCGAAGAACATGGTATATACAATCCTCCACTTCATAACACTCATCCATCGTTCGAGACTTTTGGAGAAGACTTTTGGAAGACTGACTACTTTGATTCTGGTGGTTCCATCTTTGCGTTTCAGATACATGGGGGGACGTTTTTCCTGAAGAAAACCCTCAATGGGACTTGATCATCGCAAGTGACATCCTGTTGTGTAAGTTTCTATTTCCTGCACTTGTCCTCTATGATATAATGCCAATCACCTTTCATGATGGTAGCACGAGAGCCAGACTTCATCACATCTCAACACCATATTTCAGTCACATATCTCGCTCTGAAGATCGTCGTCCTTCTTCTTGTTGCAGACGTGAAGCAGTATGCAAATTTAATAACTACTCTGTCTTACCTGTTCCGTAAGTACGAACCTTTAAAGACGGCAGAAGATAGTAGTGTCGGCGTAAACCTCCAAGAACTAGACGCACCTGAAGTAAGTCAGAAGGAAGAATGCCTCCAGCTTGATCCATCGTCAGTAGCAACTCGACGTGGAGCAGCAGTTGAAAAACTTCCTCGTCCCTGCTTTTTGATGAGTTGGAGACGCAGAATACCGAAAGCAGATGAGGCCTTGTTTTTCGAGGGTTGTAAAAGCGCAGGATTTTGTGTGAACGATCTTGGTTCGAGGGTGTACAGTATCCACCCCCCTCTCGTTGAATTTACAGACGGATCTTGAACGCCCCACTTCCTTATGCTTCGTTGATTTCCCCTCTGCCAATTATGGGCTTCAGGTGGAAAGAATTTTACCCCAGCTGTGCATGCAGCCGGTTGATCTGAAGAATGGGTTCCGATGAGAGTGGGAAAGGATTGTGCACGTCTGCCTGCCTCGTCGAAACAGGCGAGCTACAAAACATGTTACTCAACTGATGAAGGCCCATTTTGATGCAAGGGCTGGAAAGAATCGCGTTTTTGTCGAAGCATTTCTCAATTTATTGGGCCTCCTCCACTCCGAGTCTCGAGAAATGGAAGCTCACTTCTATACCTCCATTGTCAGGGGAAGTTCCACAAGTTGAAGCTCGCAAATCATATTTTGCACGTTTCCTTGTTTGAAAGGCTTGTAGAGGAAGCGGAATCATTATCCAACCAATATTTTGACTGGAGGACTCATAAGGGACCACAGGTCAGGTCAGCCCAAAGCAAACCATCACGAGGAGTTTTTCCGTTTTGTGTTAATGGGAGAGTTTAGTGAGATCAAATACATATTTATTGGGCTTTCAATTCCGATGATAGTTGAATTCAGGACGAGTAAAATTGTATAGAGATATCTAAGAGAATCTGCGTCCTTTGCTTCATTCGATTCCAATTTTCGAGTAACAAAGACATTATCTCCGTTCGGTCTCATGCATGATCAAAAATATAATATCCAATGACATTGCAAGTACGTTGTATTTTGTTTTTAAGTAGATTTGAAATGACTTGCTGCATTTTACATTGAAGAATTGCTCTTGCAAAATTACAGCGCTGTGAAGAAAGTAACTGGTGAGAGTGGGAATATAATTTTTTTGCTCTCTTGCCGAAGCTATAACATAATTGAGACACCGTAGCACGAGAAATAACCGAACCCACTAAGAATGAGTGAACTTTTGATTCATTGAAATAACTCATAAATATCTATTTTATTTGATGTGTAACGAAAGAAAAGGTGTAAGTTTATGTCATATCTCCTTGGATAAAAGTGTCTCTAGTATGACATACGAGTATATAAGAGATGCAATCATGTATGTACGTCCATTCTATATATATCAAGGATATTATGTATTTACAAATACAAAACAACAAGATAACAAGGATGACTTGAGAGCAATTGGCAAAGAATCCTATTGTTGCGCTGTACATTCTATGGATAATAGGCCTAATACTTTACTAGAATTCAGCATGTTATACACTTCACAGTCGTCTGTTTGATAATGTAAAAACTTAATCTATACTTCTATTAAAAAAATTCATGCATGAAATGATAATTTGACTTTATTTAGATAAAATAGAGCAAACAGTTATATAGGAAAAAATTTCAACGCAGATCACATCTGAAAAGTCAGCTATATGTAATGCTATTTCAATCAGTGCAGCTGTCAGATAGATTTATGATGGAGTATGTTCAATAAAATTGCTTTCGATGTTCATGCTGTCATGAATATGCAATATTCACTTCATTTGAAAAAAAAGTTTTTGATTTTTTAAAAAATTTTTAATTGTAAAATTTTAATGAATATCAATATCAATCACATAAATATGTATGGTTTAGTTGTTTTTCTCTATTACATTATCTCTTTTTTGCATGCATACAAAATTACACATTTTATCATCTTTACATTTAAAATCTAGTGTCGCGATATTAAAGCTGGCACTCATTGGATAACTATGAAATACATAATGATAATGAACTTGTTTTCTGTTTGGCTCGGTGATAGATCTATCATCATCAAAGCAAGAACATTTACATACAGCTTGAAATTTTAGATCCTGAGTTTCAAGACATAATAAAACAGAAACCTTATTATGCAGAAACTTCCAAATTTATGTTTACATGAAGGATGAAAATAGGTTTAAAAAATAATAATTTTTTAATATTAAATAATAAATAAAAAAATTCATATAAAAAATATGAAAACAAGCCTTCAACCAATAGAAAAGTAATTCAAACAAGGTACCAAAAAGCTTCCAATGCATCATAGAAAAAAGTATGACATATCTCTATCATCAATATCAAAATATATACATAAATACATAGTGTTAGTAATTGATAGTAATTTCATTATCATTTTTAAATGACAATGGGATAAATATGAGTGTAATTTTATTTTTTTATGGTGAAATTTTTTCCCATTATCCATGAGTTTTTGAAAATAATTTTTGTGTTAAGATACAAATATAATTACAAATATGATACATATTATTATACATTTATTGTTGCTAATTATAAATAAGTTTTTCCACAAAAAAATCTTGGTGAAATTTTAAAAATAATTTCATGCCTAACTCGTGTGTTTCGGATTATCCTTGACCTACCCAACTTTAGCTAGGAACCGTCACCTGAACCTAGTACTTAATCAGCTACTTCTATACCACTTGACAACACTTTGAATGATAATCAATACGTTGATTTTTTTTTAGCTCTCATAGAGTGAACCACTTTACATCTAGTGTCTCGTGTTTGACATGAATTTCTATCATTTGATGAAGACTCGGTCTTGTGGATAGTTATTATACAATTTTCACTTGGATTCACTTGTATTTATTGATTCTCGGTTTATCACTAATATATATATATATGAATTTTGCAATATCAAGACATTGTCATTGCATTAACAATTATAAGTTGATATTTATCATATGAAATATATATATTATTGATTAAAAAATCTATCAAACATGTATAGATTTTTTCAAACTTATATATATATGTGTTTTTTAGTTGTTGAGATCAACATACTATGCTTTTCTTAAACCAGTCTATGATGTATTTGATGTTTTTTCATTCTAAATATTCAGTTTGTGAAATAAACTGATATTTTTCATATATTTATTTTTATGCACCAAATGATGTATATAATCAATCAAAAAAAATTATACTTTTTAATAACTTTATTTGAGAAATATATTTTGAAATAAATTTATAAAAATTATAAAAATTAAATAAAAATTATATTATATATTATTTGATAGATTAATTTCCGAAAATTAGAAATATATTTTTGAATTCAATGAAGATTTTTTGTTATTTATATTCATAAATGATGCATTTTGCTTACATATGTCACATAATTTCAATTTTTAAAAAATACATCTTAAAATAAAAAAAATTAAATAATAATTCAAACGACATTTTTTCTAATATTGCAACAGATTTATAAATTAATTAAAAATTTTAAAGATTATACGTAAATTTTTTCAAAAAATAACTTCAAACAACTATTAAATAATAAAAATTCAGTTTATCTTTAGATGTATGTTTTTCAAATATAGTTTTTTGTGATATAAGAAATGAAAAAAATCTATTTCAAGATATTTCAAATAGACCTAGCTAATTTTTTTACCAAACCAGTTGTTTGTGATTCTTTCACGACATTAATTTGTTTTTTCACCACGAGACAATACGTATGTTGGAATTTTGTTTGCAAAGATTGATTTTCTTGTCATTGCACAAAGTTGTCATTGCCAACCAAAAGATCATGCATACGAATGTCTTGCAAATAGTGAAGCTCTTGTGATACTTGAGCAGTGAAAAGACAATCAATCACGTGTACGTATTGAAACGATCAAAGATAAAGAGGGAAGTAAGCCCGCTTAGTAGAATGCTATCCATTAAAAATACTACTACCATACAAATGCATTGCATAGTAGTAGCATTTACAAGCATGTGAAACAATTTCTAATGTGAACTTCACACATACTTCATTCAAAAAAGACATTCGCTATTTGATTCGACATTCAATCCACTTAATCTACTTTTTACGACTCTAATTGAGAAGGCGACGATAATCAATTTGTGCTTGCGACATTATAATCATATTATAAACGCAATAAATTACCATGTGGCTTTCAGATGATTAAATTGAACACTCCGATTACTAAATCCAAAAGACTTACAAGCAAAATGATTGTGCAAGTGGAAAAAAGTCTGCAAAGCAAATTTTCATGAGACTATAAGATGTTTGAATCGAATACTTGGATTCTAAATTCCAACATACTTACTTATAGAATGATTGTGCAATTGAGAAGAAGTATACACATCAAATTTCCATGAGGCTCTTAGACGTTTGGATTGAACATTTAGATTTTCAAATCCAAAAGCCTTAAACAGATTAATTGTGCAACTAGTAAAAATTCTACAAAGACATTTTTTTTGGAATTCTAAGATATTTGTATTGAATATTTTGATTTTCAAATCTAAAAGATTTACAAATAGAATAATCGCGCAACTAAGAAAAAATCTGTACAACATGTGGTTCTAAGATGTTTGGATTCAATATTCAGATTTTTCAAACCAAAAACTTTACAAACACAATTATTGTGCAGTTGTAAAAAAGTCTACAAAGCAAAATTTCATGAGATTCTAAGATGTTTGGATTCAACAATCGTGCAAGGTACATACTTTTGCTGACACTTATCTAAAGTTGAATTAGCCTTTGGTTGTTGTTTTGACTCTCTGCTTTTACAATGAAGCCAATTTATTGTTGGCATATTTTGCTTACTTTGTTTTAATCTATTAAGTTTTAGATACTTCTAATACAAAATTTGGCTCAGAATTGTTTGATTAATCTTCTAATAATTTAATATGAATTTCTAGATATTTTCAAGTTCTTTAGACCTTCACTCTCCTTCTTTTATTTTGTCGGACAAAACAAAGTGCACCTTGGATCTAAAAGAGAATTAAAAGCCAAAAAAATTTAAAATTTCTGCTCCTTGTGTCTTTGACCCTCTTGCATATTTTTCAGCCACTTTAGAAATTTGGAACAAAAATTTATTGATAATAGGTTGAACTAATTTTACGGCCGTCATTGAAGTGTATGTTATAATCTTCCATCATAAGACTATTTGAATATGTTTTCACATTCACTGTACCTGATACGTTTGCCATACGTACACCACGAAGAATCGGCCATAGATCTTAGGCATGATATTCAGATTTTGCAACGTGACGCTGGGCAATTTCCCACATGTACTTTGAATAGTCCATTGTAGGGAACCATACATAGACATTCATTGCCTGATTGTTGAATGCTCTCCGAGGAATGTTCTATAAAGGATATCAAATGCATCTTTGTAAATACAATGGTAAGTTATAAAGGTTTTACATTCAGCGGTGGAGAATACTCCACCCGCTGGATGAATTTAATAGGTTGAACTAATTTTACGGCCGTCATTGAAGTGTATGTTATAATCTTCCATCATAAGACTATTTGAAAATGTCAAAAAAATGGCTATTTTTCTAAGAGTGGCATGCGTAGAACTACAATTATTATTTAACGCATTAGACATTATACTCCTTATCTCCATGTATTGAAAGTTCACAAGATTATACAATTCCTCAAAGTAAACTTTTTATTTGCTAGCATCAATTTTCTCATGTTCATAAAGTTGACAAAAAATTTATTTTAGTCAAATAATGTTCATTCTGACGGGCCAAGCCACATAACATAATTTTATTTTGATTATCTAATGAAAACAATACACCCAAATAAAAATTGAAAACAATACAGAATGTAATAAGATTATTAGTCATAGATATAGAAGAATGAAGATCACATAGATGTAACAAATAATGCCATAGATTCATCAAACATACAAAACCTAATAAAAGATCAATATATAGTTTGAAAATGAATTTTACAAAACATAGTTATATATTTAGTAAGCACATAAAAAAACTCATGGTCAAGAAATCAGATGTATCATCATCAAAATTAAAAAAAACATGCATAATAAATTTTCTGTTATTTGAAACGTTAACTTTCAAGTGAAGTCAATATTTGTATTAGATTTAACAAATGTAAACATTTAAAAACAATTTTTATATGTGATGTATCTCAGATCTTTTGTTCTAGCAAACATAAGAATTACTTCATTTATTGATAGATTATGATTACAAAATAGACAACGAGTCATGCATCAGATGAATTACAAATTCATGTCTAGTTAATCTATGTAATTCAAAGGAATAAGTCATCTTGACACATACCTAATCCAACTAGCAATAAAATAATTGAAAAGATACAATGAGTAGGAAAGATCGGACCATGATATGCCAATATACACAAATGTGTAACCTTGCAAGATCAAGAAACTTCGTATTAAAAGGAGGAATAAAATTCACTAAATAGATATAAGAGATTGCACTAGTCAAGAGCAATCAATGATTGTTCTGGCTTTGAGGACAACCCTTTTTTGTCAGACGTTGTAATAGTACATGCAGACAAACTTATTTTCTCTCGAAAGTAATCCATTTGCTATCACAAACAAGAAGGATGATAAAGAGGTAAGCATGATCAACTTTCAAAAGTTGCTATCATCAACTACTTTGAAAAAAGACTTGTTCTCTGCACAAAGTCTTCCCAGATTTATGTCTCTACACCAATTCTTATATCATACATATGCATGATCATATCAGCAAAGATGCAATTCATGCAAAATGATCACAGATGACCGTATTCATGCCATCTCGTATCACAATTTCATGATCATGCAACTATGTTGTAGGTTGTAAATCCTCAAGCATTACTCGTGGGAGATGTATAATTAATCTCATATGTATCCACAAGTTTAAAAAGTATATATCCAAAGAATAGAAAGTTCTCAAACCTTATCATCACTCCAAGAATGCCAAAAGGCTTCTAGAGGTACGTCAGACATTAAACAGACTTAAACATTGTAATGAGAGAACAAAGTAAAATGACAATAATAACCCATCTTGATAATAAATGACTATTTATCAGATGCGCCGCTCATGTGCATACATGGAACCACATGTGAACCTGTAATATAGAGTCGAGACATCTAACGCATGTAAAAGCCATGACTATGGGACCTGGGCCAGGTAGGTGAAAATCCTCAGCAGTACATTACCTGACGGATCCTACTGTTCTCGACCTCAACGGAGTAGGTGAGGCCAGTTCCGAATGCATACAGTATACGCGGCCGTTGCTCTCGGAAAATGAATCTGGAATACTCGGGAACTGGTTTGTGGCAGAGCACAAGAAAGCGATCCCACTTGCCCGCCGCGGGCGCCGGCTGTCCTTGGGTTTGCGGCAAGTCAGCAGGCGCTTTCCATCGTAAATGTTGCGCCGGGTGGGGTTGCATTGTTCGGAGTCAACTGTCGACGACGTTTTGGCAGTGTTCGCGGCCAATCGATGGACTGAGTCGATTAGGTTCGTTTGAACGCTCGGCACCTTCTGCCTGCCGTCTGGACCCCGGGGGTTTCCGCGGAGGTTTAGAGCCAAGGGTGGATTGAACATTCGAACGCGCGCTCTTCTGCAGCGAGCGGTGAATGTTCTGGTTGTTGAAGAGCGGGCGGGTGGCAGTCCGGGACAAGGTCGGATTCTATCTCTCGCACTGTCTGTGGAGAGGCGCGAGGAATCCCTCGGTTTTTGAAACCTACAGCTTTCGATGGTCGAACTTGCACGATAAGCAGCTCCCTCTTCCTGTTCTGCCGGCTCCGCATGTAGCATTGGTCCCGGGATCCTCGTGTTCGCCCCATTTCTCACGTCAGCCTCGTCCGAGTTTATCAGCTATGGGCGGGGATCTGACAGATTCGAAGGTCACTGAAAATGGCTCTCCTGCCCCCGTCGAGAGCGTCCCAGTCAAAGGGATTAGATCTGACTCAGGTCAGACGTACTCGATTTTGCGAGAGGGAGAGGCCGACATTCTTCTTCATGGGAATGATGTATTTTACAATAAAGCTCAGGTATGGTTCCTTCTTGTTCTTCTAGTTGGATTCTGTGGCTTCCTTATTAAGCAGCTCTCCTGTGTTTCTTCAAGGCTTACATCCAGAGCCTTGTAGTGAGCACGTTATTCTTACTGCTTAGCTCTTACTGCCTTTCTTAGTTGGGAATGTGCGTTGGCATCTTGAAATAAACATCTCTGTTGGCATGTGCTCTCCCGCTTCTAAATTGTCCATCTTTCTTTTCATCAATTTTCGCTTCAGAGACGTCTATTTTCAAAATGCGTTTGCATGGATCCGATTATCAGAGAATACGAAAATTCAAGTTTGCCTGCGGTGAAAGCTACTCCGTTGCCATCATGGATTGGTCACGGAATAATCAATTGTAGCTTTACCATGGGTGGAAATAATGAATGGACCTGTGAGAGTCACGATTTTAGTTGGACATAATTCGATAGTTTGTTCGTACTTGCAGGTAGTGAATCGGGACATTTCAATCGCCGTCATCCGAGCGTTCGTATCGAAAAGAGAACAGGAACACCAAGCGGAAGTTGCGAAAAAGCTGAGTCGGCGTAAGGGAGCATCCAAAACCTTTGGTGCTCCTGATTCTACAGTAGAAAACTCTGTGTCTGTGGAAGCTCAAGGTGACGAAGCCAATGACGTGACTGAATCTGCTGAAGTCAAAACAATTACGAATGCAAGCGAGGAGTTTGTCACTGAGAACACACCTGCTAAGCCTATACGCGTCCTTGAGGTACACGAGAAGAGGCAGTTGGTTCTTGCGAAACTTGAGACGCTGTTTTAGCCGGGACCTCCTTTACTTTTCTTTCGAGCTTAGATTTATCACGTTCTTGTCAGGTCCGTCGTTATCGAGTTGGGATCTTACTGTCTGCCCTTGCTTGTAGGCGCTAGCAGCATCGGGGCTGCGGGCTCTTCGATATGCGAAGGAGATAGAAGGGCTGGGTTCTATTGTTGCTACCGACAATGACAAAGGTAGTTCATTTGTTTGTAGCGGATGTTCACATCTCTTCCTCAGAATCCTGTTTGATTTGTATTAACAGCTCGTCTTTACATGGCACATTTCGTACTTAAAGAGTATTATTCTCAAAGTAGTCTTTCCTCTTCCGTCTCCATCCCCTTTCATTTTTTTTTTCGTTCTCTCAGTCTGTCAATGCTTGCATCCCTTAGTCCTTAGGATGGTCTTCAGGCTTTGACAGGCAGATACTAGTACGTACAGTTCAGATTTGGCCATCAAATCTCGTCGATATGGTCTTTTCGAGCGTGAAGAAAATAACAGGTTGCTGGTTTCATCAACCCACTTTGTCAAATAACAGTGGCAGTAGAGGCCTGCGAGCGAAACATCAAGTTGAACGGCCCAGTTGTTGCTGCGAAAGTGGAAGCAAAGCACGCAGACGCCAGGGTTTATATGCTGACCCACGAGAAAGAGTTTGATGTGGTGAGTTTCTTCACTGTATGTTATTGATGAAGTTTGTGAGTGTGCAAGATGGAGGGGGAGATCAGATGTAGAGATTTTGTGCGGGCAGTACTGATTGGCTTCATGAACTGTACTCTCATTTTCAAGATAGATGCAAGTACACAGAGCTTCTATCGATGCCAGCAGGGATCATGTGCCTTCTTATAACGTCTCTCGTCTGATATACCGTTCGTATAGGTGGATCTCGACCCTTACGGTTCTCCGTCAGTCTTCCTAGATTCAGCGGTGCAGACAATTGCCGATGGCGGCCTGCTACTCTGCACAGCAACGGATATGGCTGTTCTTTGTGGCAACAACGGAGAAGTCTGCTACTCCAAGTTTGTAGTCTTATCTTCTTTTTTTAGAATTCTTATATTCAGGCAGTTCTGTTTGAGGCAACATGATATATTTTACCTCAAGCTAGCGATACCAGCGTCAGAGTCCCTTAAGGCCGAGAAAGTTTTTTGTCTGTCAGGGCCATGTCAGTAAAGAAAACGGGATGTTTGGAAACTATGACCGGATACTTATTTTAATTTGGATCATCCCCGCCACACTTTTTGTATTTTTTCTCTCATCTGCACTTCTGGTAGAGCCTCCTAGTTCGATGGTTAATCCTTGAGCAAAAGAGAGCCAGTAGAAGAAATAGGATTTTTAAAGTCTTGGAGTTGGCAGTTGTTTTTTTGGCAGTGGGGGAATTGACATATCCTTGGGAATGTGGGTGTTCAGGTATGGCTCCTATCCACTGAGGGGAAAGTACTGCCACGAAATGGCTCTGAGAATTTTGCTTGCCTGCATCGAGGTACCAAGTCACTTCTTGGGATACGTTCCTTGTTTGGATTTTTCCTCCTTGAGAGGTCCATATTTTCATTCATAACAAATCACAGCGAGGATTCAAGTCGAGAAAATAGATGCTACGAGGACGAAAATTCCTTGTTTCACCTGACCTCGTTTGCTACCGGCGAAACTTTTCCGATGTTTATGTGTTCGTTTTAAGTTTTCTGCCAACTTATAGTTGTTCCTTCGCCTGGACAGAGTCACGCAAACCGCTACAAACGCTACATTGTACCAATTGTTTCCCTTTCTATTGATTTTTACGTCCGTGTCTTCGTACGGGTGTATACGTAAGTTACCTACACTCGGCCATCCGTCGCGTTGTCTTCAAGCACCTAAAGCATAGAAAACACGTGGCATTCAAGTATAGTACAGACGTAAAATTTCGCTTAATCCGGTGTTGCTAGATCGTTAACAGAAAGAGATACTCCTATTTATTTCTGAACACCATCCCGACTCTGTTTTCACTGATTTTTACAGCTCGGCAAACACAATCAAGGCTACACCCAGCAAGTTGACTCATATCTATCAGTGCGTTGGTTGTGACTCGTACTACTTCCAGCCTGTGGGTCGCATCACTAACAAGACTAACAAGGTATCATATGTCATGGTGGGGTCTATGTTTGTTGAAAGTTGCGGGATTAGTACGTTGCAAATGTGGGACTATCAGGAGATATTGAGGCTTTGCATTTACCTATTCTACAAGAATAGTTGAACATTTACGGTCTGCTTTTGTTGTCGTGGCTCTTTGTCATGAGTGCCACGAGACAATCAATCAGCTCCTTAGTCTGATGGCTTGCATCGGATCGCTGGTGGTTTTCTTCGTTTTGTTGTGGTGCTTATCAACGTTCAAGAACAACAGTGCGCGTTATATGCCAGCCATTGGGCCTACGATACTTCCAGAGTGCAGTCAGTGTAAAAAGCACTTCAGTATGGGTGGACCCATGTGGGCAGCTCCAATCCACGACGCGGACTGGATCTCCACCATCCTCAATATGGCAACCTCCATGAAGGCCAAATATCCTGCGTTCGATAAACTTCACAGTATCTTAACTGCCGTGTCAGAGGTAATTATCTTTATGTCGCTCTTTGTACTCTCACAGATCCCATAGGTTTGTGCATAGGTGTCATGTTTCGTAGTGCAGGTTTTGGTCATGATGCATCTAAGTACTAAGCTGTACTCCGATGTTTACTGGATGTCACTAGATTAAGGTAGAAGCTGTGTGTATGGAATTCTTCCAGCAAGTTTTTACACTGATGAATCTGCGGATATGAATTAAAATACAGGAAATTTTGGATGTCCCTTTATACGTCAATCTACACAATATGAGTGCTACTTTGAAATGCACTCCCCCATCGGCGGCCATTTTCCGCTCCGCCGTAGCCAATGCAGGTTACCGAATATCCGGATCTCATGCAAATCCGCTCGGCTTGAAAACTGATGCGCCAATGGAGGTTCTGTGGGATATCATGCGTTGTTGGGTATGTTCCTTACTTTTTCCTGCATAGAAGGAATAGACTTTTGAATGTGATTCCTTGATGGAAGTACTTGCACAGCTAAACCTGCTCTATTTACTTTGCCTTTTGCTAATGACACTTTTCACCATAATCATTCTCGTAAAGTCGATGTAGTTTGGTCTTATTTCCTGAATATATTAGTATGAAGCACACTCTTCGTCCTGCTAGAGGGTGTTCGCTTCAATTTTACTTCGATACGAGAAAGAAGTTCAACTGTGTGTACACCATAGTTGCTAGTAACTGTATTTTCCAGTAAATAAAATGGGTCTCCATGCAGGTGAAAGAACACCCTGTGAAAGCTCAAGCGACGGCAACCCCTGGCTCTGTCATTTTAAGCAAAGAGCCGGAATTACAGGTTTGCGCATCTCCTGCGGCTTGTTTCTTTGTTTCTACGACTCTGTGCTCTTTTTTGGGTGTTAAACCAGATTAGGTCTGTTTGTAGACTTGTAACATTCAAATTCATATCGTCAGCTAAGATACTTGGTGGAATATCTACAACGAATTGCAGGCAAACTTCACCAAAGTCAACGCTGCATTAAGCAAGGCCCAAGCAAAAGGTGTAGCTCGTTTTCTACCCAATCCAGAAGAGTACTGGGGCCCCAAGCCCCGGGCTGGACGACATATCACCAATAAGCACATGGCAGCTCTTGGACCCCACGTACACCAAACGCAGTCAGGAAATGTGCACATTAGACAAGATCAGGTACCAGAAGAGGAAACGAAAGCGAAGAAGCAGAAAAGAGACGAAGGCTCAACGTAGTTGACGTAGAAGAGATTTACATACATTCAAATTTTTGCAGATTCATTTTAGCGGCTGCGTCCTGTTTCCTGAGTTTATTTTGCTCCTACCTTGGAGCATCGGCTAACGAAGTTTGTAGAACCCGTCGTCAATGACTATTTATTACTCTGTTGTTTGTAATTAGGAGCTTGTCGATTGTGATTATCGCTCATCTTGAAGATCCATCTTTAGCTCAACAAAGTACTTATGGTCCTACACCTTTCCATAGCCAATAAAGCAATTGGTAGCCTGAGGATGGGGTTATTATGGACATTTACGAGTCAAAGAGCCTGTCTTTTGCTGATTTTCATGTGCGAAGTCTATGTGAGAATAACGCATACGTCTATACTGCACATGTTTCCTACTTCAGCAGGCGGTTTTGTGGAACTTGTTGTATAAGGCTTGATTTGAAGTTTTATGATATCAGATGACGTCATCTGAGAGAAGAATGGTGGGCGAGTGATTTGACTGCTTTGTAACTGGTTTGAGGAGTGATTAGTGTGGCCTGGAGATGTTGATTGGGTCGTGGCGTCCATCAGCCGAGAGGTAAAGCGCAAATTAGCTTATATACGCAGTGTTCTCTTGGCAGTGTTGTGTTTTTACCGAATGTATATAGATGGATAGAAAGAAAGTCTTGGTGACAGTTTGGTTTCAATTCAAAATTGCATATGTCAAACGCTTGCCACAACTGTAGAAGATACACACTTTTCAAGTGACAATCTTTAGCGAGTTTGACATAGTGCTCTGGTTTTCATGAAGTTAGCTACGTTGATTTCGTGGAAATGCAAACCATTCACGTCAAACCCTTTTCTTCAAGCACTGCCATATGTGAGGTTTTCTAGTCTCTCAGCATACAGGCGGATGCCCTGTTGAATATTTTCTTGAATCAAGCAAAATTTTCCATTATACCCTTGATTTTGTTAAGATCATTACTCTGCTCCCATCATCCATTCTTTTACATCGACTCTTGTAGAACTAGATCTACACCGTAGTTGTCTCCAACATATCCAGAAGAAATAATCCAGTTGATGTTTGAACAGAGTTACAAATCTTAATGCATTTTAGACTCATGTATGTATTGTTTTAATTTTAGAGATTTTTTTGATTATATATTAGGTTTGATGTGTTTGAGCTAAGAGATAAAGTTAAGATGCTAGAAGTTTCGGTCAGTAAGAATCCAGTTATTGAATTAATTCTAGTTGAATTTATTTTGAGTTTATGGTTAAGTTTAGTTTTAACATTAGTAAAAATAGAATCATTACTGAAGTAGTATATACAGAGGAGAGAGAGAGATTCACAACTTGCAGTAAATATTTTGTAGGTTTGTATAAAACCTTCGTTGTTGCTTTGTAAGTAACTGAGAATGGTAAGAATCCAGGTATTGAATTAATTATAGTGAATTTATTTTGAGTTTATGGTTAAGTTTAGTTTTAACATTAGTAAAAATAGAATCATAACTGAAGTAGTATATACAGAGGAGAGAGAGAGATTCACAACTTGCAGTAAATATTTTGTAGGTTTGTATAAAACCTTCGTTGTTGCTTTGTTAGTAACTGAGAATGGTAAACGATTTAACTGTTGTCCTAATTTTGTATATGTGTATTGTTTTCTCGGATAGGGTGAATTTCTTGATTCTTGTTCTTGAATTGATATCAAATCGACATCAAGACAAAAACCCCGAATCAAATTAGTCAAGAGGTAACATGAAAAGAGAACCCTTCCCAACGATCTCAATGCATTCAAAGATCTTTGACGGTGTGGTTCCGGCAAGAGTATTGAAGCTTGTAGAATAAGTTCTTAAGTTCTGTTAGCATCCAGAGCCGATCCATCCAATGAATAACGTCGGTGCCCAATTCGTGGATAAGGTCACTGGTTGCTAGATGCAAAAAACAAGCAATCCCATATGGTCATTAAAAACGCCAAATAAGGGTAGTCGTTAAAGAATGCCAGTCAAGGGTGTGTTTAATATATCATGTGTAGGAAAAATGTTACGAAAAACCCTGAGGGCAATGATCTCAATTCGACGCTGTCAACAATGAGTAGTAATTTCCTTCATCAAAGTTACATGTTCCACTAATAGAGTGGAATTGAGGGCGTCCCTAATACTAGAATGAAATCATACTTGTATTCATATCCTTGCACAACATGAACTGCAATCCCGGTGTATTCTATCCCATCAATGAGGATGTTCTCAAAATCTGTGAATTGACAAGCCTTCTTAACTTTGACAACGACGGGCTACTCCAGAACTTGGTGCAAAGTACTCTTGAGAGAAATTTAAACCAAGTTCTGTAAGTCTACTTATCTTCTCAATTTGTCAAGTTACCCGCTACTGATGTGCAAGGATCGAATGAACATTGCAGAAATCATAATGGAATCCACCACTACTACAATGATGGAGTTGACAATTTGTAGAAACTCTTATGAGTTAGAGAATTTTAGGTTTGCATGTTCGAGCAAGCTACAGTTGGCATTGCAGGCTGGTTGAGATGGCTCTGATTGTCATGGATTATGTACCCATGGTGGAGTCGACAATTTGTAGAAACTATTATGCGTACGAGAGTTTTAGGTTTGCATGATCGGGCAAGCTAAAGGTGGCATTGCAGGCTGGTTGAGATGGCTCTGATTGCCATGGATTATGTGCACGTCGTTCCAAAGCTCTATCCAAAATCTAAGGATTTGCTCATCCTTCACTCAAAGTTCTTGAAGTTGTTCAAAGCTAAGCACACGGAGCTAAAAGAAATCACGGTCTCCGACATTCATTTCAGTCCGGTGTTATTGTTTGAATTTTTTGTTACCTCAAGTCAAGTATAATATACAAGGACAAGACTAGAAAGTTGAAGAAGAACAATTCTAGCTTCAACGATGTTGTGTATTTTCGAACGTACCGAGTAGAAGCATAGTTGACTATGGTGAGAGGAGATTCGGGCTCCTTCAGGTCTTCATTGCCACGAGCCAAATTGTTTATTAGCAGTTAAAGGATCACAAGAGAGCCCTGCACTTCGTCCGCTCCTCGCTAGAGTACCGGCTACATGTTTCTTAGGTGCGCAATGACAACTATGTGCAATGGCAAGAAAATTCTAACAAGCCAGCTAGTGGAAGAATTAACCACCACGGTCAAAACTTTAACTTCCGACTTGGCGGAAAATCAAACAACTTTTGTCGCGGTCTAACGGCAGACGGTTTTAACATAATTGGCTGGCGGGAAAATCCTAGCAGTCACCTCTACAAAATTCCACCTAGAAGAATGAGCATCCATTGTGTTCATTCACATTACTTTTACTTTTCTTGGAAAGTACAAACTTGTTGGTGAGATATTTATTTGATGGAACCCTATCTGAACCTAAATTGTTTGATGATACACATCAAGTTTCGATTTACCTTATGAAATCTCACCGACCTCATATCGTCATGAAGTTCTAAGGGTGTTTTTGTACACATATGATATGCGAGCTTTAGTGGAACTCTGCTATTGCAAATGGCTTCTAGCTCTGCCTTTTCTAAGATGATTGTTCACCTACAACACATCCAACTCTTTTCAACCTTAGAGAAAACATATCAATGCCCCTACTTGTGCATCAAGGACAACACTCACATTTCTAATGTACTTCGGTTGAATGTAACAATTGTAGAGAAGTTTGCAAAACAATAGGTACAAATGAGTTGCAACGCTTAGGAATTTGAGATGCAGAGACCACTTGTTCATGGTTCAAAAAATCCTATCATGTATCCTGCTCTTAGCTGGCGGAAAATGATTTCCTCATTAAGCTAAGACTTCTACTTCGCTTCAGATTTAATTCTATTCTTTGATGCAGGTATGCTTCGACAATTGTAAAAATTTTATAGACTAGAAGTTGGCAAGTTCTCAATTGGTCAGTTGAGCACTGTGATGTGTTTGTATGAAATGGGTTCAGAATTGCTCTTGAAGTGCAATTCCGTGCTCGTCAAGGGAAAATTAAGCACTACGTTGAACAACTTCAAAATTTGTAAATGGAAGGAACCAGTTCTACATTTGTATGTTTTATTGAATGGCTGCAAGTTACTTTCCAAACGATGTGACTCCAAATTGCTTCACATCATTTGATACTTTACATCACCATCATGTGTGCCAACTTATCCAAGACGCTCTATGTCTAATGCAGAATTGTTCGATCTCTGCTATGGAGCTCCTCTAGACACATGTTGCGACAAAGCTCTACTAGACGTCCAACGTCAAGAGTCGCGATAATTGCGACAGAGTTCCATATCATGCATCGGCTGTTGATACTAGAACATGCGTGACATGTATGGTATGTGAAGTTCTATTGGGTAAAATAAACTTAGAGGTTCTAGTAAGCAATTTAGTTTTTGATGGAGTTTCATTAAGTAAATAACTCGATTGTTGGTACAAAATTTCATTAAAAGTAATTGTTACAATCTTATTTGCTTATCATTATTCTGTACTATAGTAAGTATATGTTTGATCTAAAGAATAAGCATGTGCATGAGATTATTATTTTGTTAAGTGAACTTATTTTTTCTTCATCATTGACCACTTAAACATCTACATGTGATGAAATAATCTTTTTTGGTAAGAAAAAAATCTTGTTGATAAAAAATTTGATTGAGTTGAGAGTAGTAATTTCACGCTCATTTATAAAGTGTTGTCCAAAATATAATAAGTATAGGTTTAATCTTTGAAATAATACACACCTTCTAGTGAATCTCACAAGAAGTTGTTAGAAGAGATGTTTTGTGAAGTTGTTAATTATCAATATTTTCATTGCTTCAAGTAATTGGATCTGAAAGATACATAACTTTCTAGTGATAAGGGAGTAGGCTTTAACGGACCTAAAATGATGATGTAATTATCAATTGTATCTTGCTTGAGTTTTGCGTTGGAGAACTTCAGTTGTAGCAATTTGTCTGTTAAAATTTTTTGATGTAAAAACGATATTTCAAAGCAAGAAGACTTCATGCATAAACGCATCCGTATTCAACGCTATCTAAAAATTTGACACAACATAGATAAAAGTTCTCTCAGATACATATCAATATGAACAAGCTTATTTCCAATTGCACAGTCTATCTATTTGTAAGTTTTTTAGATTTGAAAAATTGAATGTACTATTCAACATCTAAAAATATCATGAAAATTTGCTATGAGTATGATATCGTAGTAATGTTGCAAGCACAATTCACTAATTGTTGTTTGTGAAATTAGATGTAGAAATCAAATCAAATAAATTGAGATAGCAAATGTGTTTGTTAGATGAAGCATGTTTGATGTTTAGATTAAAAATACTATCACATGCTTGTAAATGCTATTGACATGCAATGTATTTGCGTGACAGTAATATATCCAGTGTATATCATTCTCCTAATCATTCTTATTTTTCTCTTCATTATTGACATTTTCAACATGTAATTGTGATGGTGTCATCTTTCTTTGACAAACAAACCTTGTTAGTTAGAAAGTGTAGTAGTTCATTTGATATGTTTGACATTAAAAAAATTGAGCATCTTTCAATTGTCAACATTCATTTGACCATGTTTTGACAAGCTAAAGTTAACATTGCAGTTTGATCAAGATGACTTCGATTTGCACGGATTATGAATATATTTGGCCAAAGCTATATCCAATATCTAACGATTTGCTCATCGTCAATTCAAATTTCTGGAAAGTATCGTGATCTTCAATATTCATTTATATGCAATGTTTGTTGTATAATTTTGCCCTAAATTTCTCAACCAGAGTGACAATCTAACAACGGAGGTACAAGAGAAATGAAAAACCATATTTTCTGTTTTAGCAGTGTTGCGTTCTCTGAAGCATATCAAGAAGATCAGTAGTTGACTGTGATGGGGGCGAGTGAGGGCTGATTCAAATATTCAATGTGAGGAGTCATATTGCATTTTGATTGCTCAAGCATCATAAGATAGCTTGATTCACTATTTGCATATGACCATGATGCATGAACTTTTCATCTAAAATGACAAATATGAGCAATGATAAGAAACCCTTAAGCGGCCAATGAAAAAAATTTATTGCGAGGAATCAATCTCTGCATACAAAGTCCTAACGGCTGACGCGGACCGCGGTGGAAAATCGGATGGGATCCATCTTGATCAACTTGCAATGCCAACTATATTGACGAAAGTGTACTTTGTCAACTCAAGAATTAAAAAAAAACTGTACTCTTGGTTACTCTTGATCCACTATTTGCTAGAGTACTTGTTGCATAATCTTTTGGCCAACAATGAAAATTGAATGCAATGGCAAAAAAACTCAATTGGCCAACAAAATAAATCTATTGAAGTAAACTAACCACCAAGGCGTTTAGCGTTAACGGCCGTTATGGCTCTTGACGGATTCAACCAATGCCATGGAGAAATCTTAACTGTCCGAAAGAAAACCCCTATCAACAAGTAGGATAAATTCTAGCCGTCATGTATGCAAAATCCCTCATAGAAGAAGAATGTACATCCACGTGTGTATAGTTATCTACTTCTTCATGTTAGTTTTTTCTTCATCTTTGGCCATTTGAATCATGATGGGATGATCTTTCTTGATAAGGAAAAATCTTGTGAGTAAGAAATTCTATTGAATAATGTTGTTACGTGTTCAATTTTCTAGTAAGTACATGTTTGATATTTTGAAAAAGAACATCTTCTAATGGATATCATTTTGTTATGTTGGCTTATTTTCTTATTCATCTTTGATCACTTCAATATGGTTACAATCTTGGAGCTTCCATTTACACACACAACTAATTTGGTGTATGCGTTTACGAGAATTGGTGTAATTAAACATGACTTGTTTTGTAAAATGGATTTTACAAAACAATTTTTATAAACAACTACAAGGAAAGCTCAGTAAAGTTATAAATTTTTTTTTGTGTGGACTAAGATTATCTATGAGACTAAAACCTAAAGCCATTATTGTTGCCAAATGCCTTTGTATCTAGTCCATACATAAGTACTATCTAGAATTAGATAGTCACTTCAACTGTTTGTTTTGACGTCAAGAATATGTAAGATCTTACTCAAAAAATCTCTTCTGATAATGGAAAAATTTCAATGACAATGTGAAGATGTCAATATTTTTCAAGATTTAATTGAAGTATAGTACTTGGATGTACATGATGTTTAGAATAAGACATTTTTTCAAAGTCAATCTTATTTTGTTGATTAATCTGCATGGCTATTGAGAATATGATTATTTGTTAATTTGGAAATAATTTATGTTATTTTATGTAAAATATTGACTTATAAATCATAAATTACTGAAAATTACCTTTAGAGATATTCTGCTCTATACTATCTTGATTTTTTTATCAAAATTTACAGAATTTTGATAAAATTTTCAAAATTTGATTATTGTGCAAAGCGCATTGACTACAATATCAACATAAAAATACAAATAAAGTTTGAAAATTTTTTTTAAAACTATGTGAGGAGTATTTTTTTTTGTTTGGTAATAAAAGCTTGTGATGCTGAAAATTGTTGAGTGTAACTCCGGTTAAAAAGTAACCTTAGGTTTCAGCTATGTATAGCTAGGTTGGTCGCCGGTGTTGGATATATAACCCAGGGTTTGTGTATTACCAGACATACCATCTCATACAATCTCACGATGATTTTCTCCGCGGACTTAGCCCTTAAGGGTGAAACACGTTATAGTTATACACTTTGTCTCTCTTGTGTTGATGGTTAGCTAGAATGTTTTGTCACTGATGATTCTCATGTTTTAAGTTTATAATTGGTATCATATAATTTATTGTGACAATAATATTTAAATCATGAATGTAGAACTTGACCAAAATATTGAGATGATACAAACAATGTCACGATGAATGTTGTTTGGATCATTCAACGTACATAAGACTTTATTTGATTATTAGACATCGAGCTTTCTCATAAGATTAAGTCAAAGGAGTAGTCATCACCTTTGGAGCACAACAAAAAATTTGCATTTTTAATAGCACAAAACTATGACTTGAACTCAGTTAGAGAACTAATTAATCTATCTAATAAACTAAAAGATAATTCTCTCATTTATTGTATTTCAATCATTTTAGAACATCGATCACCAATGGAGTAAAAGAAGTATCCCAATATTTGGATGCACTTTAAGTGACAAGGTGCTAATCTTATTTCTTGGATTGTGAATGTTACTGTCGCGGAACTTACGATGGTTACAAAGTCATGTACTTGCTTCATACATTCAGGTAAGTTCGTGGATATGTTAGCATATAACTGAAAGTTTTTTATGTTCTTATTAGTATAAATATAATAACATGCCAGAATGTACAATACTTTCACTTACTTCGTCAGATCTGATCAAGCATTTTTAGTTATATCAATATTGATATTTTACATGAGTGAGATTATTATTATATATTATCAATAGAATATTAGAAATTTTTTTCTGTTCATATAATATACATTCATTGTTCATGAAAATAATTAATAAAGCGAAATATGTCTCTTTTTAATATAATTCTTAGCATTATAAAATATATTGTATTGTCTATTTAACAAACACATTCTTTAATTTTATTCCTTATTCATGTTCGTGATGTTTTTTCTCATTCCACTATTGTGAACCGTTTATTTGATGAGTCACATGATGATTTGCAATGTGATGAATTACTCCAGGGGTATTGGTAACCACATGGCCCCCTCATTCTCTTAGCAGCATGCTTTGTTACGGACATCGAGAGGAAGAGAGATGGTGGCGTCGGCACCACATCTACATGCGTTTATTTCTTTAACTGTGAGAGTCTGTTTTAGCCTAATACCTCTCTTCAGATTCCGATGGCCATCGGACATCACGAGACTCCTTAACCACGCGAATTGCAATGTCATCACGGTCAAACCATGCCAAGAGGAGCTGCGCTTAAGCTTGCTTCGCAGTCGCGACCAATTGCCGTGTACCACGGAATCAGTAATTCGAAGTAAGACTCACATCACCTCGAACTTGGCTGACCAGATCGGCGATTCTGCTCTAGGAATAATGTTCTTTTCAGAAACAAAAATGAAATCGCTTTCTATATTAGTTTTCTTTTTAAAACTAATATAGAAAGCGAAGTTTCAGACCGACTACGGAGAGTCGGACCATCGTGGTGATGATGCGTTTATTTCGGGTCGCCACTTCGGTACTACTGCACCAGAAAATCCAGCTGCGGCCCTGACGGTGGAAGTTGGCCGTCGCCGATGCCCCTGCTTCTGCTGCTGCTGGAACCCACGCTTTTGTTTATCCGAGCACAACCTTATACTACATTGTAGTTTCAAACTCATACGGGTGGAATTCGCTCCGATCAACGCCGCAGGCATGGAGGACATGGGCGATCTTCCTGTCAATTTTCACGGCAACCTTGTGAGCGCAACCACAGATAAGGAGCTCAGCACTCTCATATCGCAAGCAAAATCTACAAAACGTCCTGTAAGCAATCCTTGTACCATCGCCCGCACTTTGTTGCCCTGTGTCAGAAAGCTGTGAGCTTATCATTTGAAAGATATGTGACTGATCTGTCGCGGGAGTTCCATTGCTGATTTTTTTCGCAAGTCGAATTCAACCGATTACCGCCGATGGGGTTTTCTGAGTTGGGGGAACATGGTGGTAGTCCATTTTCTTCGAAAGGGCACCTTGACGCTCCACGTTAGACGTTGTCGATTTCCTTGCAGCTTCAGAGCTCTGATTTAACCTTCTCACCGAAGGCCGGACCTCAAACTTTCTCAGCACTGGGCCATGATATTGATCTTGCTATCTCTCACGAGTGTGATATCGAGTTGAGAATGTTGAGCACCATTCTTCTCTCCTTGTGGAATTGGAATGCTTGAGAACAGCATGGAATTATGAACTCCTTGTTTCAGATGTTCAAAATGGACAACCCGTGCCAAACCTTTCTCCGTTGACCATGGCCCTGCCAGTTCTGATATACTTCTAATACCGTAGAGCCTTTTTTCTTTTTTCTCTTACTGTTTCATGGTCGGTCTGTGATTGCTATCATAAGTCGAAATGTATGCATTCCAACTGAGGTTGCCCAGTTTAAAAGCTTGGCATGTGAATTCTAATCACATGCTAATTTCCTGTACGATCCCAACTTCCAAATCTGACCTAATCAGACATTAAATCTCCGAACATCAGTCACTTAACATCCAAGGTCCCGCTGGATACATTTCCTCAGATTGTCCATAGCATCCCATCTCATCTCGTCTCATCTTATACCTTACTGGTTGGTGAGGTAATGGCTATAATCCACATCGTGTACTCAGATGGAAAGGCATTTTATATGCCGCAAGTGCTGAAACGAACGAGCATGATGTTAATTGTTTGCTGGCTGCCAGGTGGTGGTCAATTATGGAGCTTCCTGGTATGACTTTCCAGTACTATAGAAGACGCTTCAAGTGTCCTGGCAACATCAGCTGGTTTTATGATTCCAACCGGTTCATTGAAGAAGTAAATGTACTAGAAAGCAACAGACTTCCTTCCATGCGTACTGATTAGCAATTGGGTAGGAGATGAAACTCAGTTCGGTACATCTTTCAGTGAGTACATCTTTTGATCAATGTTATCAGTCTGGCTGACATACAAGTTATCTTGCAATGTGCTGTAGGTGTCACGCTTGTCGACAGATGCTACCCACGTTTTGCAATTTGAGCAATGAGTATCCGAAATCACTTTTTATCTATGCCGACATAGACAAGTGTGAGCAGGAAACTCAAGACGTTCGTTACACGCCAACCTTCCGCTTCTACAGAAATGGAGAGAAAGTCGACGAGTTCTACGGTGCAGGGCCTCAAAGACTTCGTGACCGCCTTTGGTTGCAGTCATGAAGAGGATCGCTCCAAGGCTCTGACGGCGTGTAAACCTTCTGTGTATCTCATCCCCTTGTATGTACAGAACTACACGGCGGTGCCGAATGCAGAAGGGCAGATATGTCCACAAGTTTGGCTACTGCCGCGTGTTTTATGGGGAATCGGCCCAGCCTCTTCCAAGTCCAACGAGGTCCCATGCCCCAGCGAGGTGCAGAAGTTGATCAGTCTCTTTTGATGTGCAAAACTAGATTCAATTTAATCTTGTGTCTGCCGTATAATTGCTACATCTACATCAAGGTCTCGATGAACTGTTCTTTAGTTCGGTTGGTAGAGGAAATATCCGTGTGGAGAACACGCAGATGGATGGGTTTTTACGAGGTTCTTCTGCCCATTACCTACCACCTTGTGACATGTCTCCTCCAACGTATTAACGAAAGAATGAAACTTGCCTACGGCAATCGTGCATCGAAGCTAAGACCACAAGAACAAGGCTGATTGTAGCTTGTTACAGAAACACGCCCTGAAATATGTCACCAACCTTTTGGCCTGATGTCTGAGACCTCGAGTAACAAAATGGGTCAATGTTTGGGGCAGCAGAGTGGAGCTGTGCAGATGATTTGTGTGGACCTTTAACATATGTGATTAATGTGAAAGACCAAACCACGGCCAAGCATATGCGCCCTCATGTTCTTCGCGGCTCGTTGTTTCTTCACTACATAGATGACAACAGGAATGATTATTTGTTACATGCTCTCGAGTTGTTTACAGCACGATACTCTAGAATGGCATCCAATGCAAGCTTTCATACTCCCGAGTTGCTGCTAGACTAAACTAGCGATTGTTCGTCTGTAATACAATGCCTTCAAATTTCTCGTTTCTACTTACAACCAACAAAATTTCGTAATCCCTTCGTTTAAATAAAGTACAAGTGTCTCTACGACGTATATCGTACCAGCAATTTTGAAGGATGGTGATGAATATTTCCTTTAAGGCTCCTCAGCTGCTTTCATGGGGCCACTTCTCACATATTCCGATTGCAGGACTACCGAAAAGCCGAGTGCTTCATCTGATTAATGTGTCGTATCCACGACTTCTTATTGTTTGTGCGATTAGATTATTAATTACAGGGATTTTTCGAGACTCGAAAATCCCTTTCCATTGATTCTCGGACCTTAATGGGCAAAGTCGATCAATAAACTATTACCCCGAGCTCCAGAAAGACTGAGCTGTTCTGAAGAACATCAGGTTGGCGGTAAAATCCAAGTTGTGATCCTAGAACCAGACCATCGATTGAAAAAGCAACAAAGCTTATTCCGGCTTTTGAACATTCCGAACATACAGTTCTTCTTACTACGTACTAGAGATACTCCAGATTCAGGAAGTGAATGTCTCCAGTCTGCTGTAAGAAGACCTGGTCTCCACAGAAGACGAGCCTTGAGTAGGGTGCGGCTTGCGGACAATGGTTTGAGAGGAGCTGAGAAGGTTCCAATTCAATACGCAGATGGAGTTCCTTCGGGCACTTGAAAGGGGATCATGTCTCAGGATGTAAGCAGGACTTGTTTCAAGCTCTTTGTCCGGAAATCATCCGAATTCCTCTTGAGAAGGTGGAGTTTGACATCTCCAAAAACGCTGGCTGTCACGAATGAGTATTCCATATCAGGCTTCCTGCTTCCAAAGGCCTCTCGATTCGACATCTCGAAGCAGACAATTTCATCGCTCGAGTCCATTTGCAGCGTCTCGGAAAACTTGGGCTCCGTGAGGCCCAGGGACAGGTCAAAAACGTGCACTCTCCGAGAGCTCACAGCCACGAAGAAAATGGTGGATCCCTCAGGAGACCACTGCGCGGAGACGATATGTCCATCGGAATCGGACAAAGGCAAAGTCCAGACGCCCCAAGGGTGCGGCTTGTCTACTGTGAAGATGGCGAGGGTGCTATCTGCGTAAGCAACCAGAAAACAATCTTCGACAAATGGGGAGAAGCACATACTGACAACAGGCGATGCCACGGGTTTTAATCCCTTCAAAGCTCGGCGATAATACTTCCTTGGAGCGCAGGGTTTTGAGCCCACGAGGCTCGTCTTTACCAGACTCCCATCGGTGAGAGCAATCAGAACCTCCTGCACGCACCCGGGGATGACTGCGAATCTGCACGTCTCAGGCTCTGCGATCTCCATCCCGTCAGCCGAGCGAGGAACGGAACAAGAGGTTCCCGTTCTCACGAGACACAGTCGTCCGTCCGGATGAAGGCCTAGCTCGTCGTCTCTCGCTGCCTTCACTCGCACTTCCTCGACGATCCACATGTGCACGAACCCGAGTTTGTCAACACTCAAAAGCTTGAGTGAGGATCCACTCGTGCCTCCTCCGAAGTCGGTGGCATTGGCACCCCTGGTCATGGAGTTGCTGTACAAGCTCACGCTGTGAATTGCCGCTCTGTGATTGTCCTCGATTCTATAACATGTCGAGTAAGTAGGATAGAGTGGAAATTGTGGGCCCAAAGTGCCCACGGGTTGACTAGAAAGATCCCAAAGTGCCAAGGTGCCGTCTTGAGTACCAGCGACGACAATGCCCCAGTCATTTCTCTGCGTGTATCCGCTCCATGAGGCACAAATTGGCACCCCTTGTAAAAGAAGGGTGAATTGCAAGCTAGGGTTTGACAGAGCGTCGTATATGCATATACAACCCTCGCGAGCATGTTCGCTTCCTGACGAACTTGGTCCATAACAACACAGCAGCGTCGTGCTGCTGGATTCCTTGAACGAAATATATTGCACACGGCGCCCGACGAGAAAATCTTCCGACAGTGCGTCGACCAAAATCATCGACCCGTCTGTCAGCCGCCCGTCTGAACTATGATCTTCTTTCACCACATCACTTAATCTCAGCCCGATGGAGGCCTGCAACCAGAACCTGACGAAAGCCTGCATCATAAGCTAGTTCCGGCTTTATTTCCTTGTGCACATAGGTACCAAGAAGACTGAAACTGAATGAATTGGCCATCCCTTTCTGCGGCGAGCTTCTGTAGAAGCCGTCACTTTCCAGCGCCTGATTAAAGTGTGTATCGAGAAGGCCCAAATCCCAAGATGATTATTGTCTATTCAATGTGGCCTCATCTCATCTCAGATTTCGTTCTTTCTTTCCATTATTCTTGCAGTTTAGTTGTGATAGAAGGAATTGAGAAAAACGTGATTTTTAACTGGGTATTACTTGGGTAATATCAGTTACGCTGCGATGAGCAATGTTATTGTGGTGCTTTCCATACCTGCTGTGCTGAGCGCGACACAAGAGACTCAATCACGTAAGCTGCGTAACTGAGAAAGCTCTTGAGCTGAGATAGTTGAGCTAGATTAGCTCCGAACATGGAGTACGTCAGGTTGGAGCATTGGTTGATAGGACCGGTGCGAGCAGGGGCTGCAAGGTCATCGGGAGCCATAGCTGCCACTGTCGCCTGAGTCACCTGCTCGAATGAAACAAGCAAACCTCGTGATTAGAAAGGATCCATCGGGCATCATGATACAGCGTCTCTCCACTTCACATGCACACTTCTAGTTCTTGAAGTTGGATCCCTCGTCTGCAATGATAATCCATAATATCGCTGGTGAATTTCCAAACCCATTGACGAGAGAGCACATACAGTATTGGAAACGTTTGTGCTAGTTTTTTCCCTCTCCGAAATGGTTATTTTATGGTACCATAGATAATTGATAATTAATTTCAAACCAATTGGGTTTGGAATTATTTTTCAATTAACCCAATGGGTGAATGAGCATACGGACTTGAAAGGTGTGTGAAATAAGTTTATTTTCCAAAATGGTTATCGTAAGCTACCAGAATAATCAAGTATAATTTACAAAAATAGTTATTTGGTTAATAAATTACTTATTTTTATATTCACAATAGGCGGAACTGGCAGGACGAATGCATGGCTGATTCGGGACGTAAACCCATACGTTACTTTTGGACCGTGTCCCAGAGCTGTACAGATAGTGACCGATTCCGGAGGAGAAGAGGCAAGCCGCGTTGAGGGTCCGAATAAGACCCTCAACGCGGGACAAAAGGCTTGTCAACAGTGGGATTCGAACCCACGCCCTTTCGGACCAGTACCTGAAACTGGCGCCTTAGACCAACTCGGCCATATTGACTTGCTGTCCACAGAATAAATTTTATGAAATTTATATAGTTACCAAGGACTTCACATAATAGTATGTGTATGTCTACATCATATAATTCTGATTCTTCACGTTTGGGTGGATGCCCCTACACTCCATAGTTTTCCCTCCTGTTTTAAATAGAAGAGTCACACGATTTGTTTCATTTTTCGCGTTAATCAAGTTTAAAATAATAGAATCGTTTCACTCACTCCACTCACATTCAAGCAATGGAGATGCACAAACACTAAAATGACTATGTATGTATGTATGTATATCAAAGTGTATAGCGAAGATGGGTGACCACAAATAAGGTGTCCTCTGTCCCGCTCTAACGATGGCCTTCCCACGGGGAAGAGCGATGGCTTGTGTTCAAGAACTTTTCTTGAGATAACACATACAGGACAGGGTCAGGGAAAAGCAAGTTAATGGAAGGCTGTGATTAGAGAAATTGAGAAACAGAACGTAAATTCGCTTGATTTTCCCCTAGAAATAGTACGGACGTGCTGAAATTGACACGACACTAAGGACATGGATTTCCGGTTTATAGTTTTCCTCCATTGCATTCAATCTCTTTACGGGACGATTTGATTTCCCCGACTGAACGAGAAGTTCTATTGTGATAGTCGATGCCAATGCACGCATAAAATTGACTGACAAGGAGGAGTTGGGGAATTTCATCATGCTGTTCATTGAAAAGAAGGGTACCGTAATTGCCAGCCGACCTTGTGAGTTTGACTTGCTCTGCTCCTCGACCAGGCTCCAGGATCGGTTTGAATCAGTTTCCAGAGCTTGCGGCTGGCGTTTCGATCGGAAGGCAAATCGAAGGGGGCCTGCGAGAACCAATCGTAAGAATTCTCACGGAGAGCGCCTTCTGCATTGAGCTTCTCCCATCGAGGATGAGGCTTCACTTGGCGGCCTTCCTTGCAGCCGGTGTTGTGCAACACGTTTGTCGATCGTCGGGGACTTTTGGTCTTTTCAATCTCAACCTGGTTCACATAAAATGCTGCCAGAGTTGGCATTGACTAATTTGATGCCGAGAGAGACAATTTCTGCACAGAGATCGTTCTTGCTACTCCTTTTCATCGTGTGTAAGGGACTGAACGTTTGATTTCAAGACGACGTCCGAAATTTCCGATTGGGTCTTATGGAATGTGTCCTGTTATGAAACGAGAGCATATTCCGATCAAGAAGTTGTCGACCGGAGGAAGGGATGTACACCAACCTCACGACGACGAGATTCTCCACTTTCAAAATCATCCTGGACGTAAGTTTCGAACTCATCGAAAGCATAATCGTAGTGATCATAGACACGCGAATCTTCGATTGCGTCCCTGGAGGAATCTGGGAAGCTTCTCGTCTCCTTGGTTGTGCTGGTTTTGTACCCCATTGGCAAGCTGAAGAATGAAACGACCAGAATCTCTAGAGTAGTCGTCCACAGTAATTCAAGAATATTGGCATAGCTTTGCTCCCGTATGGTGTACGGGCAAGTCTGGAACTTGAACGAACGCGAGGAACAATTGAAGCCGTGTTCGCCGCAGTCGAAGGGGGCGAACAACACTCTGCTTCTATGGAAGAGTCGTTTGGAGACATGCCAGCCACATGATTATAACCAAATTGCAAGAAACGCGCAACCAGTCTTTTATTGATATGTTTGTTGAAACTGCTGTCACGCCATAACGTACTTACTACATACCACGCCCGTTTTCGTCTGGGTAATCTCCAACTTTCTGCACCCACAAGGTACCAAATGGAGAGCATAGAGAAGGGAAAGCCCTCATTAAACACTACAACGAAGAAACAACAAATCAATGGTTAAACCCGAGAGATGAAATCTAAACAATGCAATATTTGAATTCTTCCAAATCAAACCATCTATGAATATATGTCATAATTTTTCACTGATTGTGAGAGTTTAATTCAAACAAGCACAATATTAAAAATTTCAAGTTATTGAAATAAAACCATGAAATAAATATAAGAAATAATAGTTATAAATATAATTGTTGTTTTGTGTGTAATGTTCGTTGGTGCTATCGGAAATAAAATAGAAATAAATTGGTAGAGATAAGTTACACAATTTGTTAAAGAATATCTTATGTTAAAAAGTACAATAATTTGACACAATCATTCATATTCCAACATTTGTATCTATGATACCTTATAATCTGAATGATTGTGAAAAAATATTTTTAGATTATAATTAAGTTTATATTATATCCATGAGGATGGAAAAATTACCTCATACACTTGTTAATCGAAATATCAATAACTGCCACGTCTCGGCAATTGTAACTTTATTTCTGAAAGGAAATATAGATTTACTTCATTATTTTTGTAGATTACAATTCATATCAATGATCTCTCTCCTAATCGGACTTTCATATTAATCTTCTTTGCACAAAGTGCGAAAGTATGGTATCTAATTCATGTGAACTTTGGTTCAATTTAAAATACTATAACATTAGGACGGGAACCATGAAGTTGTGGATGGAATGTACCAAGCGGAAACAAAACTATATGGAAACACAAGGGAGAAATTATTGTGTGATCAATTTTAGATGTACAGTTTAAGAATTAAATTTTTGAACGAGCTTCTAGAATCCAAGGAATGTCAAATTCCAGATAGATTGAATGTAAACTTTTGCCTAAAGTATTGGTTCATCAAAATATATAGTGATAATCTAGTCCAATCTATGTATAAAGAAATTAGATGAGCATTGATATTTTACTTTTGTGGTTCAAATGTTGTTCACATTACGCAAGATTACCTATAACACATCTAGTGTAATATTCATATCTCATGAATCCAGTAGTAACTTTAAGATATGTCTGATTCCAATATCAAAGTACAAGGATAAGAAAGTTTTTTATAGTATTACCCTTAAAGATATGCCTAATTCCAATAGCAAAGCACAAGGATAAGAAAGTTTTGGATAATAGCCATTTAATGAAGTATGCTAGTTTATCTGAAGGTGTATGCATAGCATACACCCTCACACACCATAACTCCACATGCGTAGCTGATATGGACACACCTCGCTAGACGCTTCTTCTAATTTGTGCTGGTTCCTATTTACGGTCCATCGTGTAAAATTTCAGAAGGCGTTTCTTCATTTTTTTGACACTACGCTCTGTCAAAGGATTTCTGTTGCTACCCCTTATTTTGTGGTGTTCACATTGATGTACAGTTAGGGCTGAATTTCATATTGGAAGGAGCTCGAGGATTAACTGAAGAGAGATATCAGTGTGTATTCACATCAAGTACTTTTGGAGTGATGGGTGTTTATTTGAAATGTCATTCATGAATGTTGGGAAGTCATTGCTACGTGCTTATAATCTCGTGCGTAGTAAGTCCAGGATCGATGTTTGCATTTTGTCGGTCTATAGATGTATAGTCCTCCAGTATCTCCTCAGTGCGACGACTTTGCAACAGGGTGATCAATAGCTTGCCTTTACTCTGGCATATGTAGTTGTGCATTATTTTCATTTTTTATCAAAGCAATAACTTTGTCAGAGTTCTTCTTTACCACAACATAAAAGTGAATGGTGATAAGTTTTCCTATGCGACAAGTTTCAATCATACGAAAGGTGAAGTCAGTTCATTGAGAGTCACTTCAATGTGATCAACAATATATTTTAGCAGTGTACATTCGAAGTGCTGGAAATCTCCATAGTGAATTTTCTTTGATGACCTTCAGCCTTCGTGTGTTGACAACTATCTTCTCTACCATGGCCAGCACCAAAGTACGCTTTACTCCACCAAAATATCTGCAGACTGAAATACGTTGCGTGATACGCTCTCCGTCAACGTTGATGTCGAGGTGGCACCTGTCTGCGAACAATCAGAGGTGGAAATTTCTCATGGGTATAATAGATCCAAAGACTTCAGATGATGGTCTACTTCCAGTTGGCAACGTTCTAAACCAGTTGATTCAACGGGGGAAGGACATGGGTTGGATTAAAACACAACTCATGGGTATTGTGGATTAGCATGGCTTGATATCTAATTCGATCAGTTTACGAAGAATTCTCATTACTTCTCATCATAAATTGTCCAACTACGTCAGGAAGAGGCCAGGATGACGGGAGGTGCAAGATTACAGACTAGTGCCTGCAGAAAGCGTTAGTGGCCAAAATTATGGGCAGTTCTGAAAGCGGAACGTTTTGGGACTTTGAGTAGATATCTTTTCTTCTGAGTAACAATGATTGTATGTAAACTCGATATTACTCTGTATTCCTCACAATTTACATTGAAATACTCTTCGTCCTCTCAATCAATCATGATAGTCACCTGCATATGTAGGTGAGAAATAGTTCGGCACTAGGTGACTAAGAAACATATAGGTGATCGTATTATAATTTTGTGCGAAAACCTCAGTTAACTTGGAATCTGGAAAGAATATAAGTCCTTAATTTGGCTCTCATCGCAAAGGAACACATAGATACTATTCCCAATAAGATGTGCGATAAGCCAAAGTTGATAGTCCTCTGTTCTTTCCACGATTCCAGATCAACTGAAGTTCTCGCTCAGTCGAATCCAATCGTTATCGCCAGCTCAGGTCAAGCTCCACTCCATTCGACGCAGAACACAAGCAGAAAACACGACCAAGCCAATCAACTCGATACCATTGAGCGGAGGTTCAAAGCCGATCAGAAACGGTGGTAGTCTCGAATCAAAAGAGCAAAATGGAAAGAAACCAACTGAACTAGGACTTCACCTCTAAATGATCGTAACCCTAATATTAGGTACTGTTGCTTACTCCTTTAGTCTGAAGAAAGCCGACAGCACCTCGGTGCTGTCGAGCTATCAGGCGGTCACCCTGGAGATGTGGTGGACTACTCTGCCCATCCTGGCTTTTGCGACATTACTTCCACATCAAAATCAAAAGGATGAGGGAAACAAAGCAAGGTATCCTAATCTGGGATTGCGTTCCGAAGCGCATCTGTGAGAATAAGGGGAGATAATAACATGTAGCTGGGCCTTACAGAGAAAACAAAGCGGTGTGCTCGCAAGGACGTTCGGCCGATCAAATGCCACAAGCGAACACATACGCAAGAACTAGAGAATCAAAATAGGTGTCAAGAAACGTTCCCACAAGATTTTGTGTGCACGAAGAGGCAAACATATGCTTCAGCAGAGGCGAAGGTGCGGTGTGAACTGCTAGAAGCTCCTCGACACATCCGCGAAATCTCCAGTCTCCAGGGAACCGAGCAGTTACATCTCTTCATACTACGGATAGAGGCGTGCACGCGGGGCTTTAAGAGCGATCCACAGACAGGCGTCAATCGCGGGCATTGCCGCAATGCATGTCATAGACTTGTATCACGGGCCAATGCGTTGTCCCTACCAACCTCTCCTTATCCTGTGCGCGTCTAACAGCCAACGGATCATTGTTCCGACCAACCATGTTTGACTACGACGAACTCCAGATATTTATGTCTATAAAATATAATAGACTGTATTTTAATATTATTTTTTCTCTATAATTTTTCAAAGATAATGATGTGAAGAATCACAGTTTTTTTGAGTATGATATAGTTGTGCTTGCCATAATTCTAACATATTCTACATGTTGTAGTTGCCTCTTGCACTTCAAATTATAATTTAGATCATTTATGCACATTTTTTTATACTATCAGTTTAGGAGCAATAGACATTCTGAGTCAATTACCTTGTGCTCGTTTGTGAAGATTCCTGAGAATAATATATGGAATACAGTCTATTATTTGGTTATCGTGTAGACATATATCACATCATTCGGTTAGAGCTGAAGGAAAATATATCACAACAAAGTCTCGAGAAGTGATGTAAAGATAGAAGGGAAAAACTGAAGCCACTAACTGTTTGCACATGAAATGTTCATACGTATACGATGACTAGCACAAAATGTTTTGAATGGCAAAACTACAATAAGACTCTCCAAACCTATTTTCGAAAACCGGATATTATTTTCGTGGGCTCCATTTTGTTTGATTTCATAAACAAAACGATGGCATTTGACCATGGTCCGCGATCTCGAGAGGTGCATCACATTGAGGACATGCGGCAGACACCAAGCGTAAGCCAAGAATCGGGAGGTTGGGTACACATGTTCCTCAAAAGCGAGTTCACAAGGTCGCGATGCATCCGTGCCTTTCCACGATAACTTGCTCTATGGAACAATCAAGGACATTGACTTCGCAAAGCTTCCAACATGTGAGGTTGACAAATGTCCACTTTGCACAATATAGATGTGGGTCCACTTTCAACCAACAGCAAATCCCAGCCGAAACTTGACTTTCATGTGATCCACTGCCACATATTATCCGAAGGTACAGAAAAATGCCTGACCTTCTAAGAAACCACGGAAGCCGTCCGCAGACTATTGTAAGGTAGGTTACAAGAGTAGCTCACAATAATGAGCATCTATGCGTCAATACACGTACTCCATGACGCAACGAATTGAATGGACAACAATTAGCTCAGGCCTGAGGCAAAATTTTCTCTAATTACAGAGGGCGAAGTGGGCACGACTCTTTCAGTACGTAATTAGTGCCCTACATCAGAAGTCCGCATCCAGAAGGCATCGTCGAAGAGAGAGCTAAAAGGGCTGCCAACTACCAGAACCGCCATGGATCCTTGTACGGTGGCACGTACTCTTCAGTGACGGGAAGCAGCTGAAATGAAGATATTGCTTGCTTGAATGCAGTAGACATCTGCAATGAGTCAGCAGTAGAAGGTCGTCAGGAAAAGACGATCTACTCGAGATAAGAATCACGATATGAACGACGTCATCACGCTTCGAATGCTACTGGAAAATCAAAAAACTATATCTAAACAAGAAAGACTCTATCCAGCATTCTTGGTCACTTGCCTTATCCCAATTTGTATCCAAAGTCGAAGCGTTCAAAGAATAAAGGTAGCCTGTGCATGCGTGAGGCCATTGAAATTAGTGCATGTGGTGGAAGATTTATGAGTAATACATCGGCGGAAAAAGTCAGTCTACAACCATATCGTCACACCTTCTGAGCATGAGATAACTAGAATAATTGGTGCGCTCTATTCAACAAGGATGAAAATCAGCAGGCTCGAGTAAGACAATTACCTTCCCTCTCGGCGGTGACTGCGATTGAGTGTCGAAACACATCCAAGCCTCCTTGCTGCAATATTACAAATCTCTTCTTCAGCACCTCTTCCACTGTGCGAGAAAACTACCACTATGATCTGGTAAATCTATGAATACATTACGAAGTTCAAAGTACGACCACATTAATGATAGCAATATTCAGTCCAGAGCGTAAGAATTCGCAGAGTTTTACCGTGACCGTGGGAGACTTTTGCACCAAGTATTCATAGTACCAATATCTCATGCCATCCTTCTGCAGAGATCAACTTAGAAATAAGAACATATCCCTTCAAATCCAGGTTAAAGCACGAGTTACCAAGCACAAGTAAAGCATTGTTCGTACATAGAAGGCGATGTGGGACGAAGACATGAAAGACCGGAGAGATAGGCTAGACCACAGTAGGAATCACCAAACGTTGAAAACGTGAAAGAGAGGAAAAAAGGAACGTAGAAAACGACTATCTACGATGCATTCTCATCGTAAGCTTATATTTACTGGGCTTCCGATAGAATATTCTCGTTCATACAAGACGAGCATAGATGAACAGCAGGTTTCTGAGACTGATGTAGAGGAGATTACCTCCTCGGTATGGGAGTTCAAAATAGTAATTTCTGCAACCCTTTGGCCAGTAGTCATGCGCTGCAAACAAGCAAACACGAAAGTTGAATCATGCACTCCAATTTGGTCTTTCTGCACATGATTCTACTTCCTGAATACTTCGGAAACGTTCCTCTTGAGAACAAAGAACTTATACTTCTTGTAAGCTTGAGTACTGTGATGTTTACGCAGCTTTTCCTCTATTTTCCCTTCTCTTTGCGGCATTCTTTGCCTTTCGTAAATCTCGACAGACCTGCACGATCTTCGGTGATCTCATGCGCAAGCTGAACAATGATGAAACTACAGAAACTCGGGAATGGCTTTAACTTACCGAGGTAGACTTGTCTGCAAGAACTGAACGAGCAACATCTTTAGCTTCCCAATCCCGTGTCTCGTTTGACTTCAGAATCATGAAGTTCGGCGGACCGACCTATATGCAAAATACGCTTCTATCCAATTAGAATATCTAGCATGAAAGAACTTGAAAGGGATTTGTGTGATAAGTTATAAGTGACATTTATCCGATGAAGGCAACCCGTAGGAGCTCATGGTCCAGTATAAAACATTCAGGACAGAGCTTTTCTTCTGGAGTAAGGAATGAACTGTCTCAACTGTCACTGAGCTTCCATGAGCGCAATAATTATTACAGTTCAAGAGGTGATCAGTGAGGAAATTACCGAAACAGAAACCACAACATTATTCCTGAAATCAATACGCTCCGAGACTATGCGTTGTCTTGCATCCGCTGAGGAACAACCATGTCAAGACCAGAAGATTGCGTTAATAAGCAAAATTGGTCTTGAGTGGTAGCATCATGGAACAAAACTCACCTTCTCTACAAGATATTACAAGTAAAATGGTGGAAATGAGTAAATGATCTCATCTCAACTAGCCCCAAAAATTACTGCAAAATAACTTGAAATGATAACAAGGGTGTACATACGTGCAAGTGGTGCTGCTGACGAGTAGCGCTCTGGCTTCCTCGACTCAACCCTACATCCGTCCATTTTGTGCCCACATGTGAACTGCTATTCTTCTTTCTCTACCACAGGTTTGCGGTCCTTCATATATCATAACAATCTCATCAACTAGGTGGTTCTCATAAGTCTACATGATTGGTGAAGTCTTCATCTCACAACGTTTTACCACTAAAAAACAACTATCACGTCCAAATGCATTAACGTCAGTAAAGGACTACCCATGACCTTTAAAACTTAAGCGCATACCATCTGAGTGTGGTCGGCCCGCTATTGCCCAAAGAGGTCGGATACACATACGAATACGCATTCAGCACATCCACTTGCACGGAAGTCGACCCGGGCTCCGTCTGTACCAAGTCCGTGGCTCCTGAAAATCAGTCAGTCAGCTATCCTCCGAGAAGATTACCGATCATTCCAAGCATGATAAATTCTTCTCTGGTAAGTTCTGAAGCTTTTATGAGACATGCTAGACAGCTCTTTCAGATTTCTATTCGATCAGGAACCTGAGTTAGACAGAAAATCTGATTACATACTCCGTCCACAGTACATTTCTTGCCCAACTGGCAAACTTATGTCCTGGGACTCATTTGCTAATTTAAATGGAGACACAAATCGGCCGTACAAGAACTTGCGCGCGATGTTGCGAAGGGTGGGTTTAAGCTTTCGGGCAGAAGATTTACAAAATACCTGCGGACTCTGCATTTGCTGCAAACGGCGAGATAGTTCCTGAGAAAATTGCCGCCAGACCCATCAAAACTGCTTCCCGGCGTTGAATTTCAAAACCATTTTCCGAACATGCGCCTTCGTGTGAATTGCGCGGACTAGCGGTCCGCTTAGAGTGGCAGGCATCTATTGTCAGGGCTGACGCAGAATTGCCGGTCCGCACTGGCTGCCTCAAAGCTGCTCTTCCTCCTTGCGACTTCCCAAGTCCCGAACGCTTGCTGAAATAATCGGCAAAGTGTCAAATTCTCAAATCTCTTATTCTCTTTCCTATCATCTCGCCGCGTCAAGGCAGGATTATTGCAAAACTGCCTATCATTTCAAATTTTCAAACCATAAAATCACGTTTGCCATATTCAGCTCACAGCATTTCGCCAAACAGTTTGGGCGGATTGAAGGCTTTCCACCTCATGATCAGAGCACGTCGGTGTCCGACACTTACATGGAGAGAGGGTACGAAAAACTTGAACAGGGGCAGGGGCAGTGGCATATCAACGACGCCATATCTGCTTCTGCTCCCGAAACGACTGCAGTGATAAAGCCAGTACATCGCATTAGATTCCATTCACGACATTTTCTTTCCACAGCCGTAATCACATGAACCAGAAGTGCACCAAGCGAAATAAGGCGAAGAAACAAAATTTCCGGCTGAATCGTCCGCCGAATGTAATCTTTTAATTCAACCTGCTTATGACTGCCACCGAACGGACTGGACTCTCCTCACATCAGACATCAGACACGAAAAGGACTGAAAGTTACAAAATCCATTCACGTTTCTAGTCGCGTTCTTGCTCCGCAGACCGACAAGTCAGATCACGGACGAGGATTGCCAACCTGAGCTCAGCTAGACATGAATGTTGCGATGCGCTCATGAAACCATGGAACGACGGTCCATGGAACCTTGATTGGAGATTTGCTCTATCATCAATATTCTACGACCGGAACTGACCCGACCCCTGAAACTAACCGCGGGTGGGCCGTATTGGGTTAAGTCGGGTTCTGGTTTACGGATACTGTTCTTTGAGGATTTTCTCGCATGCGGAAAGGTTGACTGACCTGACGAGGTGGACAACGAACCCGACCCAACTCTACCCGAGAAATTAACCCTTGGTTGTGTCACGTGAACTAGATTGGGCTCAGGGTTTTACAATGGATAGAAGGCTTAATGTTTGTCCCTTTATGTAACTAGATTGGGTTCAGTATTTACTAGGGTTATGTACAAGCATGGATATAATATTCTCCCGCCTAAATTACCTAAATATGTATAATTTAGTCTATTCAAAAACATTAATTTAGGCGAATTTAGGCGAATCATATGAAGAGAAACCTCTGAAAGAGCATCGCGTATTGATGCACATACATTAGCAAACTGTGTGACGAAATCTCACTATCTTCGAGAAGAAACCTTCTGACCCAAGAAGTGAAATAGTTCCATCACGACATTCCAGAATATAAACTAGACAAAACCGGAGTCGAAGTTCATGTTCACGTGGCGACGACGCACTGGCGCACGGCGAAAAAAATTATTCAGTCTTTTGAAAATTCAATTCGATTTAATACAATAAAATACAGATGGACTTTTGAAGCCCTGAATTATACTATATAATACTATGTGTATAATACTCTAGTTTAATTGGTACAGCTCACTAGTATTTACACAACCATAGAGTTTTTTCAGCGTTATGATACGCGAACTGCATTATCAAGTTGATAACCAACCCAACCAAACCCAATCCCCATAAATTAACCCCTAGTTTGATTGACATTAAGTTAGATTGGTATCATGGTTTATACAATGGATACAAGGTTCACTGTTTGCACTTTGACAAGTTTACAACAAAGCCTATCAAACTCTACCAGCGGTTTATACAATACATACAACTTCTATTCTTGATCATTCTCAATCTCAAACCCCACGTTTATACTATACTAATAAACATGTTATGAATGGTATACTCATTTATTTACATTTTTCTTGAAAATGATGAAACATTGAAACATAGCATTGCATAACGATATATTAATTGTAATACAAAAATGATGATGATGAATCTTTAGATGATTATAGATAGATTTTACTTGACTGATATTTTAGTTGCTTGAAGACATGTATACAAATATGATTCTATTGGTTTTAGCCGCATCTTAATCAATTGGTTTCTATGGATGTGCTTCTTGGCATCTCTAAATACTTCAACTTATATATTTCTCACAATTCTTTCTCTACACATAGTTGATATTGAAGTTGCTATTTCTTTTGTATATTAGATGTATGATGACTACAATGATCAACTATTCCTTTTGGCATTATTGATATTTTTACTCCATCATTTTGAGATGAGTTATTTTCTTGAGGGTACCTCATTGTAACCTAAACCTTGATGTGTACCATCAAGTTTTATCATATGAATCCCATATACTTACAACCTTCGTGAAAATCTTGTCGTCAAAATGATTCGTTAGGTACTCATAACCAACTACTCATCTTTGAGTTTTTTCCATCCCCCACAAATCTTACAAATTCTTGGCCTAGTTTGAGAATTTTCCCTATTCGCTGCTACAAAGCTCCACTAGACGTCTAACGTCGAGACTTGCAATCTCTGCAACAGAGTTTCACTTTCTACAACGTCTGTTGATACTAGAACATGCGTGATGTGTATAGTCTTTGGGCTCCCGTTAGTTAAAACGAAACTTAAATAGTTCGTAAGCAATTTATTTTCAAATGGGGTTCCATCAATTAAATAATTATTTTGAATCTAATCACAGCCTGCAATGATTGCTATAGTACATGCAACATCTTTTGCAAACTTCCATATCTAATTCATCTATAGTTAATTAACAACAAATGAAATGAATATCTTAAGTACGATTTGAACGTTAAGAGTAACACATTATGTTTGTTTTCATATGTGTCTTCATGATATTATAATGAACAACATGCTCATCTTATTTCATGAAAAGTACCATATACTATGTTAGAAAAGTATAATTCAAAGATGATGATTGAACCTCATATTATTTCATAATTTGTAGATGCATAGAATAAAAAAATCACATGAATTGACAATTTTCATTTATGACTTTATATTATACTACATCTTGAGCACACTGACGTGTAATATTACTATAAACAGAAATAAATTAATTTAGATTACTATGCATTGTGAACACATTTTTTTTAAATAATCAATTTTTTTTAATCAAATTGATATAGTGCAAAGAATGTTATTTATATAGTCAATTTTTACTCTAAATTATGTTTATCATTAAACAAAAATCATTGTTGAATGTGGAATTTACGGAACTAACAAATGCATCATACAAAACATTATGATTGATAATTTTATATATCGGTGTGGCTAAAGTGTTGGAAAATTTATAAATCATCATATAATATATTTAAAATCATGTATTATACAATAAACAATATTATTGAAATTTTTTTGAAGAAAAATTCGTCCATTTCATTGTGTTAAACATAAAATTAAGTTAGAAAGTTTATATATGTATCTAAGGTTATTTTAAGCATTTATACTACATAAAAATTTGAATTCATTCATTATATAATTTCAAATTAAAAAGAAGTTATTATATATACATTCATGATCCGCTTCAGTACGCAAATCAAACTCGATCGACTTGTGCGTACTTAACTAGTAGGTGCTTATTCAAGACTCTTCATTCTCAAATTGTCCGTGTTCTGAGATTTTGAATATATTTATAAGCACATCCTCAATATTGAAGAACAATTGCTCTACACTAAAGTTCAAGCAAACATTTCATGATTTCAAAAAATCATTTGAGTTATTTAATAATAAGATCCGAACATTTTTTGTCAAAGTCAAGCGCAAGAGACTTGACAATTTATGTCAGATGACGATTCATGATGTGTTCCACTTGTAAATTTTGAACCGTGATATTCATGATAAAAAATGCATACTTAACTATGATGCAAATTTAAACATGAGGTGATTGTACATGTTTTGATGTTTAAAATTAATTTATGACATTTAAGGATAAAATATTGCATTACATTGTTGGTTATAACATGTTTGAATTATGAAATGGTAATAAAATACTAAATTTAATTAAAAAATTCATTGATTGAATATGATATATTATTAAATTATTTTCTTTGATAAAATGTTGCAATACGATGAAGGGCATTTGCATAGTCGCAAGAAGTTAGATAATGACTTGTTGGATTTGTGTTATGATGAGTTTATGAAAAAATGCACCGCCAAATTATCCATTTGGTTATCACTGGTTTGTTTCGCTACACACAATTGTTCTAATATTTACAATGACTCTATTTTCAATAGGTTCATGTTCAGCAAGTTTGTTCTTGGAGTCTCTATGCATTGGCGAACAATGACACATAACTGAATGAATTGTTCGCAACATTAGCCATATCATCAAAAAATATCCTAACATTGTCTACGCGGATGACGTAACCAATAATAACTCTGCAAATAAGAATACATGTACCTTGCTAAAGATTGAATTTTTTGACAAATTTTTTCAAAAATGCATTTTGCATGTTCTACATTTATATTTTAGATGCAACAAATACACGGAAAGGAGTAAATACCATTGCAATTTAATATTCTAACTAGTTATTTGAAATTTTCTTAGCAAAAAGTATGAGAATATCTCTTACAATTTATAGTTCTAAGCAAAAAGCAAGAACTATGAAAAGATATTATCAATTTTTTTGATAATCATCATGTGATGATAGCAAAATTGAATCCTATGTGAAACTAGTAGACCTTGGCTTACTTTGAAGAAGACAACGCAAACTAGATGAATTCACTGCAACACTGCTCTAGTTCAATTTTGAAAGTTTATAAAGCTGTTAAATTTTTATCGTTTCTAAGCATGACTTTGTTGATGGTACTGCTAGTGCATATAGAAAACTGAACGGGATCAAATCAAAGTGTTCATCGATGATAGCACATTTGTTATCAGATGGGTTTTCAATATTATTGAGCCCAGTAACCATCTTATGATCAAATGACAATTTGATAGTCTACCTTTGTCAAAGGTTCTTTTGAATTTTCACCAACTTCCAAATTGTTTCGCGATAACGTACACTCGTAGGTTGATTGCATCCAAAGAATTAAAATATTAGTTTTGTTGGTATCACAATGCTTTCAATTTATGTAGAGTGATGCATATTGCATTGCTAATCTATTGTATCGGCGGTATGTAGGTGAAGTTTTTAGTCATGCATATCAATCAGAGCTTAAAGATATTAAAGTAAATCTAACCACGTGTCAATATCACTTTCAAATGACAAAAAAAAAGACTTGTGCATGCAGTATGCAGAGTTTGTTATCATAGCTCGTCAAACTAAGGCCAATAACTTGTTGCACTTCAAGATGCTAGTTGTAATATTTGCAAAACATCATTGCAATGTAGCCAATATCGTTGGCTAGTCAATGCCATTGGAAACTTTTGAAAAGATTTATAGAGCGTCGCAATCTCAATAGTTATCATGGTTTTGTCGAGCTCATCATAAGATGCAACTCTTCAACATTTAGATTTGTTCATTCAAAGCTTTACAACACACTGGAATTTGAGAAATATGAGAAACTGTTGTTTATTAAGACAAACTATCCGGCGTTTTCAAAGTGTATCGCTAGTTCAAATTCATTTGATATATATATTTTGTATTTTATATCTCATTAATTGTTTCAAATTATTTAATCTTATATTCAAACCAACTCCGCAATTATAAGTTGTGATCATGACTGATTATATCTTTTGTTATAATTATCAAAGATTACAATATCAAAATTCCTTAGAAACGACAGATTTTTTCAAAAATCAGTTTTTGGTTATGTTACATTCAAACAATATCTATGTATCAAATAATATATATATATATATATTAATTATTTAATGTTCATGAACATGATCTTCATATGATTTGCATTGCATTATAATTCTATCACATTTATGTCTTCAAAATTTATGCACAATTCATCAAAAAGAAATTTATGTCATTATAATTAAAGTATGACATGATAATTTTAAAGTTGTATATAAAATTTTCAAATTAAATAATAAATTAATTTCAAATAATTTTATAATTGGATATAATTGCACTTACATATCATAAAATTTTAAATTTTGTTCAATAGATTACTTTTATTTTTTATGACCAGTTTGAGAATATTTTTTAGTATGAATCTAAAATTTGTTTTGAGTATGAATACAAATTTTATATACAAATACTCAAAACGTGATAAAGTTTAGTATAACTAGGAACTAAAATTACAAAGAATTTAGCATTGTGATACGACAAAACATATCAAAAAATTTCTATAAGTAATATATCTGAAAGAATATAAATACAAAACATTGATCAGCATAATATTGAAAAAATTATGATGCATTTTCAAAATATTGAGAATTATATAATTCCAAGACTATATATAATCTTCAATTTTCAAGTATTAAGTTTCTAATCTTTTAACATATATATATATCGTGAAAAATATAAATTAGATCAAATCTTACTTCTTTGCATTATTAATTTATTCTGAAGAAACAAAATTATTCTTCTATTGTATACATTTATCGACATCTTTACTGATTGCTCATTCACATGAGAATGATAATAATTGAAATGTAGTTTATATCCAATACTACTTTACTACGCACACTTCAATCAAATGTACGTTGATGGGAACTACAACAATCAATCATCTTCAATTATATAAGAGTGTGTAGAGAGTTAATTGTTTGTACTCCTCTACCATTGAAGTAGTATGAGGCAATGGAACTGGATATGGACATGTTTGTGTGTGAGAGGGTTAGAGAGATTAGTACACAAAGTTGTACATCTAAAATACTTACTCAATTGTTGTTTGGTACTATTTAAAGATTCGGATGCTGTGCCATTTGTTTATTGTTTTACGTTGACATTTCCAAAATCTCAGTGATAATAATTGAGGTAATAATACATTGAGATACCTTTTTGGTACTACATCCTGATTGAGGGATCGATTTCAGCGTTGTAAGGCTAGATGGAGTTTCTCGTTTTTTGTGCTATTTACTTGGCACCAAGGTTGGATTCAGTGTCTAGAGTCAGGGGAATAACGCGATTGATCACACACTGGAGTTGGTGAGTCCAGCAGCTCCTCGTGCAGTTGCGGGGTGGCTCCCACCATGGCTCAGATGAGAGGGTAGAAGGAAACCACCGACTCTTTTCGGAAAAACAGAGGTTTAAGATTAGCGCGAGAGAATTAGAGGCAGGGCACAGGTTCTGATTTGGTGCCAGAGAGCATGACTTGACACAGGCAGGCAGTCAAGTCGACAGGCTTGTTTCAGGACGAGTTCGAGGGTTCGTCGAGCTTCGAGTGCGAAGGTAGATTGTTCTTCATCCAGCTGCAGTAGCCATACTTTGAAGATGGCGTCGGTGTTGGCATTGCCTACTGAATACGCCGCGAAGCTCGGACTCCGCACTCTGCACTCGAATGTGATTCCGGATTTTTTGGTGCGCATGGGCACGCGTACTCTGCTCGCAAGTCGTCTGAAGGAGATTTACAAATCTTCAGGGGAGGAGCAGCAATCGGAGCTGATGCGGTTCGTCCAATGTGGGTTCGCTATCTCTGTGTGTGTATTTGATTCTCCCCCAAGACATGCTAGGCACATGCTTTGGTCGAATTCCTTGCTCGTACAAAATGCCAAAGTCCAGTAGATAGCAAAAATTGGTAATGGGTTCAGAGAAAGGAGAGTAAAGAGCTATGGGTGGAAGAACGTGAAGTAATTGCATTCTAATGTCAATATTGATCAGTTGATCATCGTCGAGCTGGAGAAGAGAAGGAAGTATATTATTCAATGCTTCAGTTACAAGGGCATTCGGCACCCGAGTTCGATGTTAATCTTGGTGCTGGATGCGTAATTCATTCCTTGCTATGGCATATTTTGTGCTGCCTTTTCTCAGCTTAATTTGTGTAATGCACGGATTATCTACAATATGTTCTCAGCCACCTCATACCGTACTGGTGTTGGCAGCATTGAAGCAAATGCCCATCGCCGTGAACACAAGGGATGCCAATGAGCAGCATTACGAGGTTCCTACGGAGTTCTACAAGCTTGTCCTGGGAAAACACCTCAAGTACAGGTAACTTGACGATTCATCATTGTTCCCTTAATCAGGATACTATAGAACTTCTATGGACAGTAGATCCATTGGGCTGAAGAAGATCCTATCTGCAGCTGTCAAGTCTGAAGCTAAAAAGTCGGTCTGAGAGGCAAGCTCACTTATAACTCACTACGTTATTTCCCAGATCTTCCATGACAAGGTCAACTTGCTTGCCATATCGGCCACTTAGAGGGATAGAAACTCTTGAGCTTTCTGGAAGTTGTATGTTCCTTTTCATCTGTTAAGTCTAGAACGTGATTCTGAGATGATGGTCTTGAAAATTAACTCGACTTTTCTATGGTCAAGACTTGCATCAGTTCTCATAAAGTAGTCCTTTACTTTTTGCACATTTATGCTTTACTTTGGCTGTGACAACAGAAGCGATTATTGATGTTTGCAGTGCTTCTGTAAATGCAACAGCTCAGCCCTCTTTCTGAAGCCTACAAATACCCTTGAAGAAGCCGAAGAAGCCATGTTGTCGCTATATTGTGAACGTGCTCATTTAGAAGACGGCCAATCCGTGCTGGATGTTGGTTGTGGATGGGGTTCACTTTCTTTGTTTATTGCTCAGAAGTACCCCAAAAGCAGAGTTACCGGAGTGTCGAATTCGGAGACTCAAAAGGCTTTCATAGATGACGAGGCGCAGTGAGTATACTTTTAAAAGTTTTCTGTCTAGATTCCTTCAGGTCTGAACATTCGTGATCTTGGAACAACGTGCATCATACAAAACATTTTCCCCGCTGGTGCAGCTGCTCTTCTGGTCTCTAATCGCCTGGTAATGGGTGAAGTGGTCTGTAATCTTCACAATGGGTAAATGGCTTCTAACAAGATATTCGCGTGGCAGGAAACGAGGACTGACAAATCTGAAAATTGTAACTTGTGACATAAATACCTTTGAAGCAGAAGAACGGTTCGAGAGAGTTCTATCGATAGAAATGTTCGAGGTGAGTTGATGTTTTCCTCCTCTCGGTGTCATGATAACGAATGTTTCATCTTCCCCAATTATTCTGATGTATCATCAGTCTAGTTCTTCTGGATAATGTACGTTCCATCTGTGCGGAAAAATAACTTCTTGTGTGTGCAGCATATGAAGAACTACCAGAAGCTGTTGAAAAAGATTTCATCTTGGATGGAACCGAGCGGACTTCTATTTATCCATACTTTTACTCATAAACTTGCGGCCTATCATTTTGAGGTACGTCAATGCTCCATGCTGAGTTCTGATGCATTCAATTCAATAGGGAATTCTAGAGTGCCATAAGACTGGTGTTAAGCCTATGAGCAGGTTGGTGTACATTCAAGTTCACTTTTTTTCCAGTTACAGTTATCTTGCAAATTATGTTGTCAATCTTTACATCGGTTCTTCATTGCAAATTACTGTTGTCAAGCATTTACATCGTACGAACTTCTCCATCCTACGGCTCTTGGATCCCGGACGTTGTTCTCCTGTATATCCGATGACATGTCCGTCAGTAGAGCGTATCTTGCTTTCATTAATAGTTCTGCGGCCAGTTTTGATTCGGGACAAGCGGCCCTTGTCTATTTGTACTTTGGAGATCTCTGGTATCTGTTCCCTGTCATTGCATGTAAATGTTGCTGACATGAGGCCCTGGCAGAATGAAGACGAGACAGACTGGATGACCAGGAACTTTTTCTCGGGAGGCACTATGGCTGCCGATTCCCTGCTTCTGTATTTCCAGGTAAAACTTATAATTTGAAAGACTGATAGTTAATTTCTGCTTGTTAATCATCTGATTGATCTTTCTTAGATGAAAGATCAATCAGATGGAAGGTGTGGAAGTGGATTTTATTTCATCGCATGCAAGGCTTTTCCTTGCCGGTATCCTTCTCACGGACACCAGGAAGGATTGCATCATCTGCCAGTGTATGCAACATTTTTCCTCGGAATCTGGACGAACAGAATTGCAGTTTGTCAAGGGGAGCTTTCGGTTTGACCTTTTTCAGATTTGTCGATGTAACCTAGGACCCTTCTGACCAAGGAGTTTGTATATGGTGATATTGACTGCAGGATGATGTTTCCATTGAGAATCATTGGAAAGTGAACGGAAGGAACTACGCGCAGACAAGGTAAGTGATAGACATTTTTCAAGTAGGAATTTTGAACGAGAAGAGGTCTGCTTCAGTTATGGTCGAGAAGAAGAAGATAATCTGTTAACTGCGAATGCGAAGTGCCCCAATGCGTCTCCGCCCTATAAAGCTTGGCAGTGCTTTTGATATCTTTTAGATTATCAAAGCAGATTATTCAACTGTCAGAAGTGCTGATTTTTAATGTGTGCAGCGAGGAGTGGCTGAAGAGAATGGATGCCAATATCAAACAAATCAGAAGTATTTTTGCAGCGACGTACGGTGAAAAAGAAGTGACCATGTGGATTGTGAATTGGCGCACATTTTTCATGGCCGTGGCTGAATTGTTTGCCTACAACAATGGTGAGGAGTGGGGCGTCTCGCACTACTTATTCAGGAAAAGATAAATATACACAGTTGCGTATTTCTACACCGTGCACCGTTCATTTTGGAGATCAACGAGCTGCTTTAGTCCACATTCTGTGTTCAGTTGTACGAAGCGTGTCTTCGATGCTGATCGCTGAGATCAATCTCAAGTCGAGTAACTACTCACTGTACAGTTAATGGCTTTTGAGACCGAACATGTGTTAGAGAAGTATGCAAACTCTTGAACTGGAAGCTCGGTTAAATCCAGTCTGATTTCACGCTCTCCAAATGTAGTATCTTGAGCATATGGAACATAATCAAAGTGCGTTGAACTTCAAGGCCAGGAGTGGATTTGGAACGGATTCATGTGTTTTGAGCTACATTTTACCGAGCCAAGCCTGTGTTTGTAACGTGATCTTCACACTCTTGAGCCGAATTATGTCGTACAGGATGTATGCCCAGACAGGACGTATAATCTTCGACCTTCTGAGATACGTTCGTTAATGTTTAACCCAGAGAAAGTTCATGGAGAGCATTGAACCACAGGGACAAGTTACCTCCGAACTCCCGAGGAGTTGATTACTTGAGCTGTGAACATCGTCATCATCTGCTGTCAGTTTCAGGTTCATTGAACTAGCGTTGCCTGGCTTAGCACTATCTGTCCTCAGGGTTTGCTGACGGAATCTTATGATGCTTGTGTCTTGACTCTTTCATCTTTTGTTGACGTGGTTTGCGTCCGGATGAGTCATCCTCGTGCATTCCTTCGGTGTTCCTCTGTTCGTATGTTGCATGCATGTGATTACCTCGAGGCTCATCCCTGGAATTGCCGTGCATGCCAGAACCAGTATATGTTAACAGTCCCCTGCACATCGAGTCCATGATCACTATGCGGAAAAATGTGTGTTCCGTCCGAGGAGGCAAATCCGTTTCTTATCGTCTTTCTTCTCTGTCTCAGTCTCGTGTTTCGATGCACTGAAGAACTTCGTTTACCGTGAGCCGAAATTCTTCCCGACCAAGTAAGGAAACGGAAGTCAAAGGCGTAGTGTATTGAATGCGCTTGACATCTGACCTGTCAACGACGCGACTATGCCCATCGAGTGCGAGTCTTAAACACAGGCTTCCGTCTCCTTCCCTTGCCTGGCGAGTTTCGTGGAAGGGATGTCGTTCACGTGCAAGTTCGTCGATAGCAGGACAGGACTGGACAACGGAAATTAAAAAAGTCATGTGTGTTCGGCTGATTTCTCTATGCGGCAGTGTGCTGACGGTGAACACGCATCACAGTTGACTAGTCTGGTTGACTGTTGCCGTTCCTGCCGTTCAACGAGTAGCCAGTATCCAAGCGCCCTAGCCCGCATTGAGTCCAGTGTCCACTAAGCCGAGACTAGCACTCATGGATGGGAGCAAAGATTGTCGCGGAAGAAAGTGCATCAAGTGGGATACAAGCCATGTCTGTCTGTGGTGCACTACATCTTCGTGGCACCGTAACGACGTCTGGGGCCCCTGGCAGCCCTACTCCGGACTCCGGCCTATCATACTCGTCGTCGTCACTCTTTCATATCTTTGGCTCAACCAATCATAGCTGCAGCCAATCGGTCGCTGGTTTTAAATTTCGAATTGAGATCGCTGAGCTTTACTCGTTTGCAATTGTTTATTGGTGATTTTTTTCAAGCTCGAGAGTACCAACTACTAGAGAACAAGAGTGTGGAAAAACTCCACCAAAATTGACATGGAAAAAATGAAGACAAATGTATTAATATGAAGTAGGGTTTACGGTGATTATGCGTATTCATGGATTAAAGGAAAGCGGAGTTGTGATACCAAGGTTCTCAAAGTATAAGTATATATGTATATGTATATATATATATAGACACCCACCACCGTTTATAGCATTGATATTAGGTAAAAATTAATTTGAACAAAATTGTGAAAATTGTTGTAGTCTACCTTGCTAAATAGCACATGTGTGACTCGCATTATTGCATATGAACTTGTTATATGGACGTTGACTTTAGCATATAGACTTAGACTTTTACATACATTTATGGAGCATAACGTGATAACCTACTTATCTACTACACATGTATCATCTAGATAAGCAGATGGCACATGTGTCACTTTATTACTATTTTGTAATCTATTGTAGACCTCATGATTTAATTTTCCTATAAATAGCACTATGGAACGCTTTCCATGGAAGAAGAAATCTACAAGTTAATCTTTTTATGGTCTTGTTATTTACCTACTATTTTTTTAACGTAATCAAATAACTTGTGATCAGAACATGTACTCCGTTGCATTGCGATGCTACGGAGACTAGCCCCATGTTACCCGCTTGATTTCATAGCTTTACAGGTTGATTGGCTCTTATTTAATCTTCATGAATCCAAACCCGCATGGATTCTAAGCGAGGCTACCATCTTTCAGTTCGGACAGCTTGGCCTGTGTTGGGACTCACAGTCTGTCGCGAAGAACAACCCAATCGCGAACGGTATATTCAGAGTCCGGCTGAAGTTCTTGAGATGGTATGGACTCTGTAGTCTGAAGACGATGCTCGTTAAGCACTCTGCTGATGGTCAGTTGTCAGAATCTAGTTTCCAAGCATGGACCGGAATTGGAGGGTCGTATCCGTAATGCCCAGGTCCAAGTCAAGTCCTTGAAGAGCTCAGGGTCAAGTTTGGCAACTCAGATTGCACTACAGCTTGAGATCAGGATTAAAATAATTTCAAATCGCTAACACATAAATCGCATGCTGTCGTCACTCTAGTGGAGACATGGCTCTCCTAAAAATAGAGAGGAAACTTGGCTAGCCGCATGCCTGGGAAGCAGCAGCAGCATTGCAGCAATCATGTCAGGGTCAAGAAAACGTACGGCGCCAGTCTCAACCATGTTACAGCAGTTATCAGCAGTGTCCCTCTGCATCATACGAACTAGCTATCTGTGCTATTTTTCTACCACTGGCGTTCTCTTTCATAGAAGCATTGCTTTCGTACACTGGATTTACACTACTCGGCTTCCAACACTTGATCGAGGTTCTTCTAGTTACCGGGATGGAGACCTCAACGAGCCAACGTCACAAGCCCCTTTGATTGGGTTCAGTGGGTCTTGTCTGCTCTTCACATGGATCATGAACTCCTCACAAAAATCACAACGAAATCCAAAATCTATATTCCCCAGATCCACCCTGTTGGAGATACCATGTGCATTCATGGTGGTTTTCATTACAATGCATGGGGTTTTACTAACACATGGATGCTGCGAACCAACATCACTCTTAAATCATAGAATATTCACCTTACACATTCAATTTTGTCTGTATCAGTTTTGCAGTCACTCATACGACGTCACAGTTCGTATCATTAGCATCTTAGAAATGCTATTAAGTTCGATCTATTCATGTCCTGCATTTGCATGTCGGTTTTTTTACCATCGAATTGCAAGAGCTCTGATTGATGAGGTCAGACAAACATTGTGTCTACTCCTTGACGAATTTGCTTTGGATTTACATGGATGACATTGCACGTCATCCACTCATTTTTTGTCACATTAATGTTTGCATTATATTCAAAAAGTGGCTGGTCGGATCTGCATGACTCAAAGACATGTGAAGCAAGTGTGTTGGCAACTTCACTAGAGGAGTCATCATTTTCAGAATCTATTGTTCCAGTTCATTGTTCATTGAAAAATTCAATCACGTCTTGTCTTTGATCGTAGAGTATGATAGACTAGCTAGATCATTACAATCTTTGACATATACGGCCTCTAGTGAAGCAACTATTTTGACTTTATGTTTGCATCTTCATCCCTGCATCCGTATCACATCAAGCATAACTAACAGAGAGCATGTTCTAACTCATTAGATTTTTCATCAAGATTTTTTGGAATTCCTTCATGCTATTGTAACAATAACGAGTGATGAGATTTATAGATGAGTGGCTTTGAAAATTCTAAACTGATTTGATACATCTTGTCCACATGTATCTCATGACCTTTACCATACTTCATGAAGTCAGAGTTACTTCTTTGTTCTTCCTACTTCAGCGTGCTAATTTTAATGGAAGAGTGATTCATGTCTTTGATAATATCATGGATATAAGGATATATCCAAATTTTATTTTATTTGAATTCATAATCTATTAAGCACTAAGTCGTGAACATTATTGCTGAGCTAAGTCTTGGTAAAGTCTATACAAAGATTTGCATCCACAACAAATGTAATTTATTGATAGATGAATCAATCATACTGTGCAAGTACTGTATGATTTGTATTTGATTGTTTCTCACTTTTTACAAGACATGCAGCTACATTTAAAATCAAACCAACTCTATTTAACACTTCATTACAAGTCTCACTCAAACACACATTAAAACTTTCATTTGAAATGCATGTTCACATATTTAACATGAAACCTTCTTACTTGAAATGGATTAAGATTCATGATAGGTTGTAAGAGAATCAACTTTTTTTCATCACACTTCAAATCTAATGCAATTATTTGATTGGGTTTGATTTAAGCTTCATAATATTGATTTGCAAGCAGAATTTATATGAGTATATACGAGAGTTGATTAACACAATGTGGAGACATAATACTAGTATGCAAGTTGGATCAACCTTATATTTTATTTGATTGACACAATGTGAAGTACCTAGAATTATCATTCAAAATTGCAGTTTTGATGTCATGTATGTCATCAATGAATAAAACGATTGTGTAGTATAGATAGATTGATGTTCTATCATACCTTTGTCCACACTACTACATAGTACAAATGAACATGAGAAGGATTCAAATATAATAATTTAGGTATTGTGATTTAACAAATTATTGCCAAAATCATTATTAAAAAATTGCAAAGATGAGTATTTTGAAAAAATTTACAATCAACAAGGATTGTGCAAGGAAAGAACTTCATAAAACTTGTTCTTATGATGTGCATAAGGTTGTTTGAAAATATTGGCAAGTTTGTTGAGAGTATGCTAGGCTTCATAATATTAAAATATTTTTTGCACATATGAAAATTTCTTATTTCATCCAATTTTTAAGTATCATATATGCATCCTACTAATACAAGTGAAAATCTAAAATTAAAAGAATTTTTTTTTGAATTGGTGGTAGGGTTTGTTCAATTTCTCCAGTTAGTTTTATTGCCGTTTATGCGGTATCATCTTTGTTAGGTTATATGCAGGGAAAATATAATAGTTAAAGCGGATTATGAAGTTAGCGGATTTTGCGTTAAAAAATTGTTAAGGGTGACAGCAATGTTAGAAATTTTGGGCTCCTGGAACCTCAGTTTTTTATATGAGCTTTAAAGAATGTCGCCACAATGAAAAGTAGCAGGTGCCAAAATCTGAAGATTCTGCTACACAAATGAAATTGACTCGACTGTGATTTGTTGTTATATGCCATGGTGATGATGCTGTTCATGTTCTATCCATAACCTTCCCTTGCCTCACAAAATTCAGCATACTCCGTCGTAATAACTACAGTCTCCTTCTTACCAAAGGCCACCAGGACTCGACAGATTATCCGGAATAATGGGGACAACCTGAAGGGAAGGGAAGGAGCCTAAAGCGAAAGAAGGAAGAAAAGCAAGTGCAAGCAAGCGTTGATTCACAAGGGAAGGCGCACTGCCTCTCTCTCACTCTTCACACAAAACCACACGAGGTAGGCAGGCAGTTCAGTTACCTACTGTACAACAGCACTCAGTCTGCAAAAGGACCCAACTCTCTGTCGGTCTGAGAAAGCGCCTCGCTCCCTCTCTAGCGCGCGCTTGCTCATGTTAACGTTTATCAGTACTGTAACGAATCGTCCCTCACCAGGTGACGACGGCGTGCTTGCGAGTATTGCACGAAAAAGAGAGATAAGAACATTACAGTAGATGGATGACGACGCGCGACCGGCAGGTGAAAGGACGCCCAACATGGAGTGTACAGCGCAGTAAGACTCCGAGTACAGTGCTGTGATGTGATGTACGGTACTGAAAGTCCGATACTGTTTTATCTACCGTCCTCGACTCGCGTACCTGAGGGCCTGGGCTTTGCGGATCATGGTGAAGGAAGCATTTTCATAAACATTTGCAGTACTGTGAAGGAAGGAAGCTCGTGGTCCGGGCGTCCGAGACGCAGAATCCTTGTGCTTTCAGGAGGAGACCTGTACAAACGTAGGGCTTTCCTTGAGGCTCTTCGAACCTGCTGACTGCTGTTGATTAATGAGATTCTACCTCGAAAAAGCGTGAAGTGAGGTTTCAGAGCTGGGGTACGTACGTTCGGTCCGCTCAGTCCTTACCTGAAGTGAGTGTGAGTGTGAGTGTGAGTCTGAGTCTTCGACGAGGACTGACTCCTTGTTGCTTCACGAACGTTATCCGCATAATGCTGACCTGACCAGTTTGAGTCACATTGAACAGCACGATCCCTCAGCCTACAATCTATCCTCGCCCTATATGCCATCCCGGGTTGAGCGAAAGGCGGCAAAGAACGGGGCGTCGGGACGGGTCCGGACATCACGAACGGATCACAAGTGACTGTAATGGGCAAAGTTGTTCCGAAAAGATGCCAACCAGTACCCATAATTACAAGTTCCGATTCGCAAGTCAAATAACTCACAGATATTGGATAAAACCACCAACTCCGACGGGAAGAAATGCCTCTCGGAGGAAATGATCACCGGTCACAGTCAGGATAGGATTCGACTGTCATGATTTCTGTATTCTGGAAGCCTGGAACCCACATTTCGACCAAAAGCGGCAGGAGAAGAAAAGCACATAAAATAAAAGAAAAAGAAGGGGTGAGAAAAGACGGGTGATTAGCAGAGTAAAAGAACGAAAAGGATGGGGAGGGTAAGAGAAAAGAAGAAGAAGAAATCGAATGATGGGCAGGGGAACAGCATTTTGCGGTACAGTACTGTCATACGGGAGAGTTGGAGCTCGGGTAGACCGGTCCAAGTCAAAGCGGAGGTCGAGGACAACGACGCATACAACAGCAAGGCCAGGCGAGGAGGGAAGAAGATGGAAGAGAAGGTTCCTTGCTCTCGGAGAGTTCTCTGAACGTAGGCCTGAGTAACCGCTGAGCCCGATCACTGTCGGCAGCCCAACACTAGTTAAGGGACACTGCAAGGGTCTCTAAACTAGATCGGACACGAATATGTATGTTTAGCTGTATTTTAGCTGTATATAGTCACTATGTGGTTGAAAGTGATTACAAGGGAACTTATTCTATATTTTATTCTATAATCACTCTATATTTCAGAAATTGCTATTCAAATTTCGCTTTGTTGCAATATGTTATGACAACCATTGCTTGGACAATGAGCTGCACCACCCCGAAGTTTGAAACCCGTGAGTACCCGGGGGATTGATCAGCGATCTAGATGCTTGTCTTGTAGACTCTAGCGGCTAGAGCATAATCTAGTTTTTTATTATTTCTAAATCCTGAAGAGAATTATGATAATTAAGGGCTCAATGGTCTTCAAAAATTTGAAGCCAAGAAAATTTTTAGTCTTGAAAGTAGATCCAAAAAATTTGAGGCACTTGAACTTAAAGTTGCTCTTGTCAACTCTATGTTGCATGTACATAACCTTTGTCTACAAAAAATCCTCTTAATGTTTTTTTAATACATATTCTAAAAATTTTGTGGATCCAACCTATTTTCAAAAGGGATTTCGTCACCTTCATTCTTAACGCGTCGTACAGACTTTAATTAAAAAGAAGATTTTTTTTACATCATGTCGATCATAGACATTCGAGTGTACAATTATTATTCATTTTTTAGATACTGCAATTTTTTCCTTTCTAATGCAAAAAGATAGGCTTACTCTTTTACGACGAAGACATCACATGTATCAATTCTGCTTAGTTAGAGATTCTTGATAGCTTTTTTATTATCTAGATAGAAGAAATATGAGAGACATCAATACAATATCATTATTAGGTATTGTTATGACATATTAGAGATACATAATTCTCGAAATAAAATATGACTTTTTGAATGTAATTTTTAAGCCCAGTGATTGAAGAAAATCTACAGTCTATCTTGACATAGGAATAATATTAGAAAAATAATACCTTCATTTGCAGTGGATCTAGCTTTTCAGTTTACTCGTTAGACTCGTACAGTCTCTTGGTCTTGCAAGGACGAGTGCTGATTGAGGTCTTGGGCTTTCAGGTCACTGGACATCGCATCAACTATATTTCCAACAATGATGAGGTTTTTTTTTTAACTTACACATCTACAAGAATTTCCGAATATTTTTTTTGACGATTAAGAGTGTAAAATTTAGTAATATATGATGCTAGCTCAACTATGTTCACATCTAATCTGATATGTCGCAGATATCTTCTCATGATGCGATTAAGGCAGGCCTAGAACCGTGTTACACGTCTGGATTCATACTTGTAGCACCTGATAGGGTCTCACGGTTCTAATTATTTTCTTACTTTTCACTCCTATTCGAAATGGTGAACGAGAAGGGAAAACGGACGCTCATTGCTCTAGCAGAGGTCGGACAATGATGGCATCGGTTGTGATCCAGTACACTCTGATGTACCCACAGTATGTACGTGTACAGATCGCGGACCGTCTGTCGGCTCTCGTTGTTGCATGGGCCCAGACGAACCCAACCCGACGGGACGACGGCCGGGAGGAGAGGAAAAGCGGCAGCGCAGGGCAGGGTAGGGAAGGGCGGTCGGGCAGGGAGCCAATAGGAAGCCTAAAGCAAACAAACCATGCGTCAAAATACTTTCCGGAATCTAATCGCACCGATTCTCCGATTTCCTGCTGGCGCCCGCCGGCACCCTCATGCCGTAACGCTGTGTATGGCGACGAGGAACTAGTCCCGGGAAGTGCTCCGAGCTCCATTCTCGCGGTCGCCCGTTTGTGGCGAACAAATAAAATCCGAATGAGCATTTCTTTTTACTGAGTGCACAGTGGCCCTCGTCACCTGGGGATTGGCCGGATACAGAATGACAAGGGAAAATAAAAAGATGGGAGTATGATGGAGGCGAAGTCCACCGATTTCTTTTATCGCCTCTGCCTGCCTAGATTCCCGGTATTCAGATGGTATCTGAAGACGAGGCCCTCCGGGAACGGAGGAAGTTGGCCGAAACAAGGGCAGGGAGAATCGGTACGATGCGGGTACACCTTCATCTGATCCATGGAACCGTGTGTTGTCATCCCGCCCGCTGTCTTTCTGTCTTTCTGCCGCCGGTGGCCTGAGATGGATGAGATAGTGGTGGTGGCATCGGGCTGGTGGTGGTGTCCTCCGTCGGGAAGTCGTGCCGGGAGTTCTGTGTCTGCGGAGAAGGAGCATGCGCGCAAAAGTTAAGGAGAGCGAGCGGCCGACGCTGCTGATGGTAGCAGCAGCAGCGGTAGCAGCTACGGTAGATTCGCTCGCTCGCCCTCGCCCCGTCGCTCTCGCTCTCTCTCTCTCCTCTTTAGGCGAGTGTGGGAGTGTGCTGAAGGATGAGTGGCTGGCGGGCGGGCGGTCGGGCGGGCGGGGGGCTCTCTCTGGCTGGCGGCCTGTTTTCACACACGAGATTCTATAGTATGCTTGAAAACAATGCAGCAGCAGGGACGAAGAGGCGGTGATGCATGGGAACTGATGCGATCCCGTCTCTTCTCATCCTCTATCGTCTCCCAGTGTCGTTAAATTGCGTTCAAACGTCGGGGTCCTCCATCCTCCGCCGAACTCTTCGGATGCAGCTGTTCCCCTTCAGTCTCGCCGTGCCTTGCTGTCCCTTGGAAACGCCTTGCCCCTCCCTCCCTCCTTCGCTCGCTCCTTCTCTCCCTCTCTCGCTCCGTCGCTCGCTCGCTTGGCCTCTTGGGCGCGCTGGGTCGGACGAGAACGCTAATCTGCACGTTCCGTGTGAGAGGGGATCAGACTGAGAGAACGGGGTTCCGTCGATCGGTGGATCGATCCGAGGGAGGGCCCGACGATCGACCGAGTGCATCGAGTGCATCGAGTGCATTGAGTGCGTGCGTGCGTGGAGGAGAATGGCGTTCCCGCCCGTGACCAACAGCAGGACGCCTCGCGTGGTGATCGTGGGCGCGGGCATGGCCGGAATAGCTGCAGCGCAGAGATTGCAGAGGCTGGCGTCGTCGCGATTGCAGCTGACTGTGCTGGAGGCCAGTGAGAGAATTGGAGGGCGCATCCGGTCCTCGGAATTCAACGGCGAGCGCATGGAGCTGGGCGCCACTTGGATTCACGGCATAGACGGCAGCCCGATCTTCAAACTGGCCACGCGAATTGGGGCGATGGATGGCGGCCAGCAGCCTTGGGAGGGCCAGGATGGATTCCTGCGCAACGAGCTGGTGCGGACCGAGGGCGGTTCGGAGGTGGACGATAATATCGTCCGCCCGGTGGCGGACTTGTTCGACGACCTGCTCGAGCAAGTGAAAGACGTCGACAGCTGTCGCGCCGACGCTCACCACAGCATCGGAACGTTTCTGCGGGACGGACTCGACCGGTTCCTGGTTGAGCAGCGGCAAGCGGCGCTGGCTGCCGGTCGTCGGCCCTGGAACGACAATGACGAGTCCCTGCGGCAGGCGCGGGGCTTGTTCAGAAGCAAAGAGTACTCGGAGAGGATCGTGACCGGTGCCGATTGTCTGACGGAGCTGGACGTGGGCGGCTACCAGGAATACAAAGAATTCCCCGGCCCGCACCGCACCATCGGCAAGGGCTATTCCACCGTCATGCGCGAATTGTCGAGCGTTCTGCCCGATCAGACTGTCCAATTCGGCAAGAAGGTCGACAGAATCCTGTGGAACCAGACCACGTCCGCCTTCCCCGTCAGCGTGCATTGTCAAGACGGGTCCGTCGAGTACGCCGACCACGTCCTGATCACCGTCTCGCTCGGTGTGCTGAAACGGGCTACGCTCGCTGCCTCTCGCACCGACGTGCCACCGGGCGCCGAGAAGAGGAAGAAGGAGGATGCTGACGTGGTGATCGGGGGCGGCCTGTTCAGCCCTGCGCTGCCGGAGTGGAAATTGGAGTCCATCGCCCGGCTGGGCTTCGGGGTGGTCGACAAGGTGTTCATAAACTTGGAGCCGGCCGACGGGGGCCAACACACGCCGCTGCATTTGGTGTTCAGCAGCTCGGACGAGAACGGCGACGACGAGGCGGACCGCGACGAGCACCGGCGCGGAGGAGGAGGGAGAAGGCCGGCGTGGCTGCGCAAGACTTTCGCGATCTACCCAATTAACAAAAAGTCGCATGTGCTCGTGACCTGGTTCGCGGGGCGCGAAGCGCTGCTAACGGAAGCTCAGACCGAAGAGGAGCTTATGAAGGGAATCACGGACACGCTGGCAAAATTCGGCTTTCCGCGGGGCTCGTGTAAAGGACTGGTGCGCAGCAAATGGGGTACGGACCCTTTGTTCCAAGGGTCTTACTCGTACGTGAAGAATGGGTCTACCTGTGACGACATGCAATTGTTGGCGGAGCCCTTGCCCACGTCGAGCGATGATGATCTCTTCGCAGCAGCAGCAGCAGCAGCAGTCGGCGCGGGCATTGCAGTCACCCCCCCGCCTTTGCAACTTTTGTTCGCGGGCGAGGCCACCGAACGTCATTATTATTCGACGGTCCACGGTGCTTACCTGAGCGGCCTCCGTGAAGCCGATCGCTTGCTTCAGCATTACGACGTGATCTGACCCTCGTCGCTCGACTCTGGACCCGATGAATTTCGGTTCGATTCGTTTTGTTTTGCACGCACGACATACCTCCCGGTACCTGGCGCCACAGCGAGTGCATTGCCGGTTCTCTCCCTTATTTCTCCTCCACGCTGCTGCCTCTCGGATGACGAATTTGAACCCCTCGTGGATCCCCGTGGGGTTTAGTAGCGCTATTCCATTGGCTCTCTTCTGGAGAAAAATTGCTCAGAGGATGCGATCAGAACAGATCGACTGCCTGTACAAAGTTAGTAGAATGTATCTTCTCAGATCATGGTCAGCACCCACCCCTCCCCACCTCACCTCACCTCACCTGTAACTAGAGCATTAAGTTCAACGTAAATATGAATGAACCTGCATAAGTGGCCACCTCGACCAACAAGAAGGGAGTGGTGATACAAGTCACTAGGTGTATGAGTAAAAGATTCATAGATAGATAGATAAAGGTTTGCAATGCGAGTGAGTGAGTTACTGACCCACAGACAGGCAGACAGACAGAGAGGCCTTATAAGTGCGAAAGACCTGATCATGACGCACAAGGCTATCATAGTCCATCAACTGTGAAATGGCTGGTTTGTCCTGTTTGGTGTAAAATTTCCCGGTTCGTGACTGCCTCTCTGCCGTGTGTGAACCCGTCCCTCCCCGTCCAGTCCAGAACCTTGACTTGCTCTCCTCTCCTCTGCTGCCAGTGGAAAGAACCTTGAAGCTTAGCGGTTCTGACTTTCTGGCCCGACACGAGGAGATGGCCGACCACATTCACCAGTGTTTCGTTCTGAGCATGGGAAGAGAGCTCGCAAATCAGTTTCATCTCTGTCTGCCGGAACTGCCGTGTAAATTCGTGTATTCTTATATGAGACAAGATTCAGTCCGAATCACGTCTCCAACACTCCCAATAACATGTACATGTATTTCACCTTTCTCTACGTGAATACAATACGTGGTGTCCACGGTTCAATCTCGGCCAAGTTTTAAATTAATTAAGTTTAGACTTGACACCCTTGTGTGCATGAATCATGTCCTTCACAGCAGCTAGAAATGTAGAAAAAAACTTGGGATGACCTCATCAAGTCTTACACTACTCTACATATTTCACTACTTGCTTCTTATGGGAAAACCTCACAATAATTTACACCATTGCTCTCTCATGGATTGCACTTGTTGATTGCAATGGATACAATGCTCTCTTACATAATTTAGACATAGATTAGATAATCCTATTTCACATAAGACGGTAAGGTTTTGTGCAGTACAAAGCTTTGGAAGTCATTTTCTATAACTTCATGTAACTTCAAGCCTATAATTGTGGAGAATTTACTTGACATCGTAACAATTTTTTTGGAGAAAAAAAGCGATTGTCATTATTCCACTTGTTGCTGGTCCAAGAGGATGAGTATTCAATTTATTAGGTTTGAAAATCATCAAATAAAAATTATATCAATCTATCAATGTCTCCAAGTATATGCTTGTTACGAATTTTAATATAACTTACCCTAGATATCATGCAAACCTGTTGACCTGTTTGTTCTTAATTTTTTTTAATCTCAAGTCATTCGGGCAAAAATGTGTACAATTAGATAAAAAAGTTTTGCTAAGGTTTTGGAAGCTTCAAGTCTATCAGTAATAAGAAGAAAAGGAGATGAATCTATCTCATCGAATACTTTTACATAAGTTTATGTGAGAGTTGTTTTTCGAAGTTCATGTAAGAGATTTGAGATGTTATTAGAATTACCAACATATAGTTGCACTACAACCAAGCATATGGATATATACACGTGCTGTGATTCCCACCAATCCAACCACACTGTATAGTGACCCCAAACTTGTGTAAAAGAGGTTATAGCCGGAATTGGGTTATACCGCATAACTGAGTCAAGTGGATTTAGGTAGGTGAGCGAAGATACGTGGCCTTAATTCTTTTTTGCCTATCGTTGGATTGAGAAGGGACTACGGGACACAGTAAGATAACGAAATGGACGGGAAACCCATGAAGTCTTACATGGATGAAACATTGCAACCACCGTGTAAGTCCGATGATCGATCATGTGGTGCATATATATGAGAGACACCTCTCTAAGTCAACGTTCCACGGGTCCTAAAGACCTGTGCCCTCACTTCCGTAGAGAAAAAGAACAACGCAATTTCGCACACTTATCGACAACGGGGTGCCAAGTGCCAAATTGCTTAGGAGTACAATAGGTTCCATCTCTGCCGTTGATATTGTGTAGCATGCAAAAATTGAAATGTAGGCTGTTTCACGGTATAGCGTTTTCCATTCTCTATCATTGCAAACTGGTGCATGCATTGAAGTACTCATTATGCGGCATGCCTAGTTGTTGATTAATTCACATTGGCCTCCATTCTTGACCACGTAATGATATTTCACTTTATAGTTTCCTTGAACAGACCAAACGGTTTATTATTGGGTTGTATTGATGACCATGAGTATCTGGATATCTAGACCCTGTCTTCATGGAACCTCTGGTACATATTCTAACATGTTCTCTGCGTGGCCTATAGCTAGAGGATCTACGACAGTACGAGGGAGTAGTTCATTTATAAGATTGAATAAGTGTGATACAACTGATTATGGTCACCTAGTGCTATACTCTTCTAGTTTTAATTTTTTGGGTTTTTAGAAAAATACTCGAGATCTCACGAACACCTTACCCAACCTGGGTATATGTCGTCTATTGAGCTGTAAGTAAATGTGATTTTTCTCGTCTGGGTATGCATTTTTGTCTGAACTATTACTCTGGGTGGAAGTGCCTGACCTTTGTTAGCAACACTAAAAGGTTACCTCTCATGCTGTAGCATTCTTTTCCTTCAGCTTGACTTTCGCCAGGCTCTGTCCCTCGGGCTAGTTTCATTCTTTTTCAATAGGCATGTTAGCTTGATCTCGCCTCCTACATATTTTATTCCATTCTTGTAAAACTGGTTTTACTCGGATTAAGTGCACTTGGTCAAGAATGAGCACCTTTTACAATGAATGCAGAAAATGGTCTAGATCACATTTGCGTTCATGAAACAACTTTGTACGTGAAAACGTGATATTCAAAGTTTAAGAGTTCCATAATTCAACATATGTGAAAATTAAAACTGAAAATCTCAGTATTGTGATGAGTGCATCAATCTTGCTATATATATATATATCTCACACATTTTGTTAGACATTCATATGATGTGACTTGGAAACGTATAGCACGTCCATCACTTGTTGATAATTTGGACTAACATAGATCGCAATCCGAATTAAAATATTGAATGTGAAAGTAGTCTTGGCCCTCATTTTAGCTGCTTAACCATATGGCAAACCGGCAATCCCAACTCTCAATGTTTCTATTGACACATCTCTTTCAATGGCACTTAAAACCATGGATTCGATTTCTCTCAGTTGATAAATTTGACAAACCAATTGTCATCATCGTTTGTAAAACCCCTAAACGGTTTCCATGATTTTCAACTGTGATATAGATTGACATCTATTAAAATTAGTTAATTTAAATAAGGTTAATATATTTATTTGAACTAGCTAACTAGCGCTATATTCTATATGCTAGATCTTTATCTAGCATCAACTATAAATGGTACAATTTAGGTTTTATAATACATGATTGCGTGTTCTGTGAAAGTAAATGTTCTGCTGCACAATTTCGTGTCTTGTATTCTTCGAAATATTTATCACTGTGAATATACATATTCATTACCAAATTATATGTACATATGAATATCAAGATATGTTCGTTGAAGCATTGTTACTATAAAATCTAGTCAAGCCATGGAGTAAAGTCAGCGTGCTCCAAGCTTCATTCATTGTTCGTAACTGCTATATTAAATGTCCGCATCTTGTTGTATTAAATCTCCTCCTACATGTGACTGAGAGACTTTTAACATCATGTATATATCATCACACATGGGAGTTGTCAAACACTACACATATGGGTCGCCAACACTTTCCACAATTTTTATATTATCCTTACAATAGTTTGCAATAGTACGTAGATGACAAAACATGATAAGGAGTCTTAGTATGCTACTGGTGATGCGAAGCTGACGGCACGAGACGAGAGATACACGGTTCTGTATATGCGGATACAGGTGAAGGGAAAGACAAGCAGGACCAAAGTCAATTTCTGATAGAAAAACACGAATCTCAGGAGAAGAGATCTACTTTCTTCTCAGATCTTTGTTAGATACTAAGGTCAGAACGCCCCATCCAGCTGAGTGTTCATTTTCTAGATCCCTCTTTTTGCCATCACGCAGGTTCTAAGTGTTCGCAGGTGTGGTACCAGAAAGTGCATCTTGTCAGCGTCTTGTTCCCCATGATCACGGCAGGGAAAAGGCCGACATACACTCGATGGAAGTTCGTCGTTTACCCCTTCAGGAGTTTGACTCCTTTCATATTTGACCACGCCTTGCATTATCCTCCATTTTTCTGTCCCAGCTGTCCTATTCGTTCAGAGCGATAATGCGCTTTCCTGCTCAACAAGTCTCCTCAAAACCTCAGGATGTCTTGCAATTCAGTAGAATGTGCCAGTCCGGATATTTGACGCCCGGCCTGAACTTCATCTGTGAGGTTCCACCAGGTTCAGAGCGGCGATGGCAGGAAATTGTCCCGACAGGCATATTCTTTATCAAAACACCGTGGTCCACGTTGTCATGTCAGCTCCTTTTTCTACTTGAATTTCACTTATGAGTAAGTTTGTTTTACTTAATTCAATATAATGATTACCATTTGCAGCTGCATATGAAAGTAATTGTAATATTGGTATACATTATGAAACCATAAGAGTTTGTTCATAGGACCGACCACGTCCGTCCTCATTCTTCATACACAGTTTCCGTAAATTCACATAATCCGGCGGTATTGTGTGATATTTGTCTCACACATAATATATAACATGTTGGACGACGATTTTGCTGGGACCAGAGATGAAGCGATTCCGATGGTGTGTGTGTGTGTGGTTTGGAGGGACTTCAAACACTGTGTCGTGTGTTGTGATGTTTCTGTGTATATTCCTCATGTCACGATTCATCCTGATCATCTGATCGAAGTCTGTGAAATAACAGCACTCTACAAGAGCTTTTACTCACATTCAGGCCATTACAGGAACGAAGGAAACCTGTAGCAATTTTTTACTTTTAAAGATCAGTAGTTTTTGTCAAAACCCAGTTACTTTAGGTAATTTCCTAGCCAAACAGCATACCGTAAAAGAGATGTGTTCCTTCAGGAATGTAGAGTACAGCGCAGCGATTGCAAAATCACCTTTAGCAGATGAAAACCTACAAACTTCAAACTAACCACCAATAATAGGATCCTGTATAGCAGACATACACATCACAGATCAAGAAAACTTGATGTACAAACGGTAAAAGCAAGGAGGACGTGTCTCCGCATGATACTGGCTATCCAGGCTGCCACTGAAAACGCCTAGAGCTATTTACATATGAAAGATTCTTATATCTTAATGTTTCGGTGTATAGCCCTAAGAAGTATCGTGTGTTTTTCTCACTATTCCTTGTTTCTAGAATGTATAACTTGCAGCAAAACTAAGTTTTATACAAACGCCGTCGTGTGTAAAGTCCATCCTGCTCAAAAGAGGCTTGTCTTTTTCATGATTCTGTAGAATTCATCCTCGTTGATCTCGCCATCACCTGAAAAAAATCGACATCAAACGTAAGGCGAAAGACGATTTTGATAGCAGATATGCACGATCTGGTATGTGATGCAGAAGGTACTCGTTGACAGTTGCTATGATACCTTGACGCTTCCGCAACATCAGTAGAGTCATCCCACTTTATCATGGAAGTAATCTGAGTTGCAGGCAATATTAAAAATAATATTTATGAGAAGGTGATACAGCAATCGGTCATAGGTAGAAGCTACTTACCATCTCGATCTGCTTCGTCTATCATTTCCTGTAATTCCTCGTCTGTCATATTTTCCCCAAGCTCTTTAGCTACGCGTTTGAGGTTTTTGAAGGAAATTTTGCCCTGAGATGGAAATTCAGGCAATATACAATGTCAGCACACATTTGACTACGAATTATGTCTCAAAACTTTGGGCAATAGTTCTGAAGAAGGTAACATGAATCTCCCACTTACAGTCTCATCATCATCAAACAACCGGAACGCCTTCATTATTTCTTCCTTAGAATCTCGTTCACCCATTTTGGCTGTCATCATCTGTAAAAACTCTTCGAAATCGATAGTCCCACTGCCATCTTTATCGATATCTGCGATCATTTTCTTAATTTCCTGCAATTTCGGAAAAAAAGAGAGTCCAGAGTCAGGCAGTTAACTATACAATTTTACAACAAGAAAAAGCTACCATAAGAATAAGGGGTATTTCTCCCTTCGTGCAGTGCATCTCCTCACCTCCTTCTTGGGTTCAAAACCAAGAGCCCTGCAATTAAAAACGGAACGAAGTTAGAGAATCTAAGAGTTTCGCTCTACAAAGGTGTAAGCAATAACAGTTCTCCCAGTTCATATGCAATAAAAGGACTGTCTCACCTCATTGCAACCTTGAGTTCCTTGGCATCAATTGTACCTGGAACAAAGAAAATTGTAAGTTTTTCTGTTGAAAGATAATTCAGATGGAAGCAATTTGAAGCAACAAGCCGCCCAAACACACAAAAAGCCACACCAAGCAGACTTGGATGACAAAATTAGGACCTGAGCCATCTGTGTCAAAGAGGTCAAAAGCCTCGCGAATCTCGTTTTTCTGCTCGTCTGTCAAGCCTTGTGTGCGACCTTTGTTTCTGTCTCGTCTGGCTACTCCGGCACCCTTGCGAAAATTCTGAAAGGCCAACCAACAAAAGAATGCAAAAAAAAAAAAAGAATTTCAAGGCAAATTATTATACACCAAAAAATCGATGCCCACCACAATCATAAAACCTTTTCAATTTGGGTTCATGCGGCGAAATTGATACATCATCAGGTCCTCCATATAGGACCCTGCAATGAACTGCCATCACAAAATCTGATGGGACAGCACTTGAAGTGGTGGATCTAACAAACAAGCTTATCTTTTATTCACCTCTCTATCTGTTATCTCCTAAACGATCTCAGAGCTACCTCAGCAGCACTTAATCTAAACTAAAATTTATCCAGAGTGTTCAGATTCCAGAGAAGCTGACACCAATTGAAAAATAGGCACCTAAGGTATTCAGCCATAACCCAATTGCCCAACGCCCAGGAGAACAAATGAAATTATTTTCAAGATGGTTGGTATACGCACGCGGTCCATGGTGGAATCGAACGATGACACAGGCGTCGATCCTGAGATGCAATTTAGAAAGAAGCGGGTTCGCTCACTTCAAAATCCAGAACCGCAGCGAACGAGGACGACCTGACAGAGCCTCCGCCCCTCTACAGCTAAGAAACAACAACACAGCGCAGATAAAGAGGGGATTAACAGCATCAGCGATTGAAAGCGACCCGTATCAATCGATCTATCCACGATCACAGCAAAGCAAAGCAATGCAGTGCAGTGTGTGTCAAGAGTTCGTTCAATCAGCTTCAGACTCTGGGTCTCTCTCTCTGAGACAAACCGGGTCTCGCAGCTCTCGCCTCGTCTCGCTTCGCTCGCTTCGGCCCGGCCCTGAGGCCTCGTTAAGTCAGCGACGGACTTCTTCGTCTTCTTGGAGAGCCGAAGGAAGGAAAGCTGAGCATTGAAGCAAACAAGCAAGAAAAGGTCTGGCCCTTGTCTGGATCCGTAACCGACCTTCCGACTTCACGATCGGCAGCCCGAACCTGTGGATGTCGTCGGTTTCGAAGTCGGGAAGCCCCGACGCCGTCTATGACAAACAAGAGCAAACTTCCCGATGCTTCTTACAGTTACGCAACTTACGCCTGCACGCCGTGGAAGTCTGCAACAACCTTTAGAGCCTTTGCCCTCTCCTCCCCTTCCCTCTCCTCGCCCCCGCAAAACCTTCATGCTTTATCCAAACGCCTTCCCTTGCTTCGTTCTTGATACGGTACTTCGATGATTCTTCCCGCGTCCGAGGGCAGCTGAATCTTTTGGGTGGAATATTCGGAATCCACGTAGAACCTTGCTCGCGAAGTCAGTCCCGCCTACGACAATACGAGGATTCGAATAACGTTGTCTTCTTGGATCGAACAATATATTATCAGCTGGGTCCGGCCCTGAGTGTTATTCAGAAAAAGATTGAGTTTTCGGTATCTAAGTGATGAGTTGACAAAGGTGTTGCACCTGCTTTGTCTCGCATGCATCGGGGGCCGCTTGCTTGGGAGGAAAGAATACGGCTCAAGTTTGAAAATTGTACATCGAGCTGCCACAGGCTGCAGGTCTGCACCTTGTGAATCTGTTCTTTCACGTTGCTGCAACGTAGAATTCTGCGTGTGCTGTTTTGAATTAAAGAGGTCCATTTCGCTTCGAACAATGTGAGATATGGAAATTGAACCCTTAGTTTCAAGATCCAAAAGCTTCATTAACAGAACCTCAATTGAGAAACATTATCTGCCGTGAAAGCCCTAGTTCCTCTTTGAATCGTTCCGGGTGCTACAATAAATAGAGGGCTTCATGTTCTAGAACTAGGGTGGAGCAACTTTCAGTACTTCTTTTCTCTTTTCCAAGGAGTGGCAGGTGCAGAAAATGATGTCTTCGATTTCCATACACTCTACAGATTAGATTCATTTGCCCCCAAAAGAAAATAGAAGGCCTGCTGGTGGCAATGGTGGTCCCCGATCCTCACTTCATTGCAACGACTCTCACTTCAGACCGAAGTTGCTTGAGGACCCCCACGAGTAGATAAATGTGCCACTTCAGACAGCATCACTCAGTCACTCACGGAACGGGCATAAAAATGACTCAACCTTCCTATGTGAAATGAAAGCTGCTTTGAACAATTCTGACCACCAGTTAGATGTGCATGTATATAACTCGCTGCCTGAGTCATATACATCGTGCTAGCATCGGCCAGAAAGGTGAAATGTAAGCCTGGTCATGCCCCGTATTTTGGGGCTCTCCACAGCTTAAAAGCGACCTCATGTAAGAACCGGTCGACCAATATTGTCAAATTCCCAGCATGCTGCAACCAACAGCCATCTCTTAGCCGGACAGTTCATCAGAAAGTGCATTCTGTGCACGAGGATCACAACACACAAACCAGAAGCTCCCAAGAAAGATCAACAAGTGCAAACCACCATAAAAAGTCAAGCTGAGGGTTACTAGATGAGAAACAGACCTGCTTGAACTCATCGAATGCAAAGGAATCAACCTCATCACGACGTGTGACAGCATTGAGATGATACACGGCGAGCAAAGGATGATGATCCCTGCCATGACAAATACCCTCCATTATGTCATGATTAAATGAACAACTAATTAGTTCAAAAGAACAAAGTGTCTGCTATATCCTCAAACAGTTGAAACATCAATCAGAAACTGGAGACTGTACATATTGATATTAAGTCAACCCTCCTCACCGTATTCCTTCGATAATTTGCGCAGCTTTCATTGTGTAGCTCTGTCGAGGCATCATCTCTGCAAGCTTTGGCTCACTTCTTTCGGGTGATAGTGATGCAACTTCATCTTCTGAGGCGTCTACAGACCCATAGCCTAGAACCACAAGAAGATATAAATGACTACCAGCATTTGTTCCTGGTTGGCTTTGTTCCAGTACAGCTCCCAGCAATTTATCCGTCCAGTCGACCAATTCATCCTCTGTCTCTGCGCCATTTTGCTGGCTTATCTTCAAGTGTAGCAGCAACAGCTCAAAATCTCCCAGTTTCTCATGACCATTTGGATCGTGCAAATCAAGAAGGCCTAATAATCGAGTTGCAGTAGCTGATGGTTCCGCCAGAGAAGGGCTGGAAGAACCTGAGGCAACATCCTGCCCATCCTGCCAATCCAGAAGAGTAAAACCCGCTTTTTCTCCAAATGCAGCAGCACGGCTGCACGTGGAGAGCATACCGGCTTTAATTTTCATGAATCTGCGTTCCCCACTCCATTCTCAGTACTTTGTACACCATAATTCCTTTAGGCTTAGTTCAATGGAAAAGGTTCAGATGATGTTCTAATAAATGAATGAACGAAACTCGAATTGGGTCAGGCTCTAAGAGTCTGACGAAGAGAAGTGTTTCCGAAGAACCAGTACCAATTTCAGCTGTACCTTTCAGACATCGAAGGCATCTGCTCACAGTTATCCTTAATTCCTGCATTTTTCTGCCAATGAAGCAAATTTTCACTTCAGCTTAAAAGTTGGGAACAGAAAATGTAAACGCACGTCTTGATGATGGACCAGTCCATGACGTCTTTAGAGGTAAGACAGAACTGCTTCAAGATGGAAAACTTCCGTGATAAGGCCTACTGATTTGTAGTCAAGGAAATTGGCAGGAGACCAATGTAAGCTGGCAATAATGTCGATTATGCTGAGAAGAGCAACAGATCTGCTTCGGAACTCTACTTACTTCTACGTACACCAAATATTGAACGCGCAGTGACTGTGGATGTCACGAATCGGGTGACTGTGGATGTCACCCGATTCGTTTGCGCAGAAGTAGACAAGGACGAAATGATAGACTTACTTGATGGATATCGTGTAGATCCAACAACTGAGCGAGCTCCCCTACCACCCGCTCGTCCTCGTCTACTGCCAACAGAATACGAGCCTGTGAAGTATGTTAACGTAGCTCACTGGCAGAGAAATTTGAAATCCAATCTTCCAATCATTTCGAACTTTGCGAAGTTTGAACCCTAGATGGGATTGCTCTGCTCACCAGGGGGCTCCACATCCCCAAAAAATTCCCTGACTATAGTGAACGCATCCACAACCAAATTTCGATTTATTTATAGAGATTAAGTCAAATTGAAACCAGTAGGTTCAGCTGCCTGAGTCTATACTCAACCAACTGTTTCGCGGATTGTGTACTCACTCTAAAGAGGCCTAAGATGCTCGCTGTGTCAACAGAATCATTCCAAGCATGGATAAGTCATAGACGATCCAAAGCTGACGCTTTGGCTTGCTCTCAAAGATTGCAACAAGGTCTGATTGCAAGGATCACGACAATTACCCGTAGAAGCTTGAGATCGCAAAGCGAGAAATCCACAGGATCCAACCGCTGCTATGGCATGTAAATTAGAATGCCGGAGAGCGAGGTGTCTCATAAATCCGTCTCCATAGATGATCAACGCTCGCGCTGGCTGATCAGCCATGGTTGACGATGAGCTCCCGTGATTCCGTGATGAACAATTGGAAAAGGAAGGAAAAACGCCTCGACTGCAACCGATTTTCCTCACAAACCTCTTCCTTCTGATCTAGAAGCTTGGACTGCTTGCAAACAATAGTAGCATTTTGATCGTCAACCAATCAAGGTCCGAATAAAGCGGACAACGACACAGCTCCAACCAGACTCACTCCACCATACTTTTCTTCATTGGACAATTCATTCCGACGTCGACAAGTAGTTTAGGTTGAAGACTTCCACATCATCAATTACTGCATTGCGTAACAGTGGTCAGCACTCATGGTTCTGTCAAACCTGAAACTAGGAGGCGGACTTTTTGTTTCTCTAAGGAACGAGAGCCTACTTCTCACATGGTTTGGATTTACGTGTATTCTTATTGTACTACCCTGTGTGACTGAATTTGCGACGACTAGTGAGGTCCGTCAACCTCAGACAAAACTTAGAGGAGATGCTGTAGTCAGCCCGGATACTCCTGCGTGCTTAGGTGCAATATGTTGGCTCGAAAATCCACTACTTTGCTCTGACAGGTAGCGAAGTCCTGAAACTATGGCGTTCTTGCAAGTTCCATTCACGCTTCGGGAGCTTTACAATTGGAAAGAACGCTACCTCCACTGATTAAGACGATATTCAAGCTCGGGAAAAAGTAAGTCATTTGATTTTGAGAGTTCCAGTGATAGTATTCTTGAGGGCGTGTACATTTTCCACATTACAATGAAGCACATCTAGACTTCTTGAACGCTTGCGTAATTTGGTTTGATTCCCTGCAGTCGCAAAACCTAACAGTGACACCCAACAGTAGCCTTAATCTTCTTCATTTTGGGTGCGAGCTCTTGACCTAGACGAGAGCCAAGATTCCAGCCTTAGATTCAAAAATAAACACACAACGCAAACTAAATAGCTTGTTGCAGTGGCGGTTTCTCAATTCAATGAATGATATATTGACGTACTGTATTGCATTAGTGAGTGGCAACACAGACAGAGGCTTTCATTTCATTAGAGACTGGTAATGTTGCTAAAGTGAATAACTCTCTACTCACGGACTCGGTTTCATCTGGTGGCCTCGAATTACAACAGCAAATCCGTCGCATAGTCATGACATTAATCATCCTTAGTTCTGTATATGTACGGCCGCGAGGAACTGACTCTGAACTCTTCCAAAGGCCTCCACAATACTTTGCTTGTTTGGTATGGGCTGCGGGCCATGCAGTGCAAGCTCTAGATTGTGACTTAGTATCATCAGTCGATAGTTGCACAACAACGATCTTAACAACAATGCAATCCCACTGACGCAGATAATCTTCGACGACCGAAGAAGGTGTATGGTAGGGTTTAAAAGCAACGATCACTTTTCAGAATTCATTTACTGGCAAATTTCTCAGGCGGTTTTCCCTACAAAGGCGACATTAGGCAAGTAAATATCAAGATGAATTTCACCACACAACAGAATGAAGTAAAGAGACAAGCTTCTGCAGCCTGAAGAGAAGAAGGGATCGGGTGTTACAGAAAGTGACACTCCTTTAGATTATGCGCTCGTAACGGCAAAATTTGATTCAGGTACAAGGACTCAATACGAGCCGCGGCCCGGACTATGCCAGAAATTTATAAGGTTCGCCAATACATTAATGTTCCATTAGCACCGGCAGATCAGAGACAGAATCGTTCCACATGCAAAGTGGACAAGTAATGTACTTGTATGCTTTCTGAAGAAAAGAAAATTTCAATGCTGGTCTACGTAATTGAGAGTGCAGATGAAGATGAAGGAAAGATGAAGTTTAAAATCAAAGTTCTGTGAAACTTGAATAGGTACTATGAAGGAAGCGAGAAAAAGATGTACGAGCTTATATTTAATGGATACGGAACAAATTTCCAGAGGCTACAGTCCACGTAGACAGTGGTGCACCTCTGCTCCCGCTCCCTCCAAGATCTCGTCAGAGCCCGTGAAAATGTCTCTTAGGAAGGAGAGCCATGACACCTCACGCTTCAGCAGGAGGTCGTCGCGCTGGAAGAGATTATATGTGTAATCTTCTGATAAAATACAGCAAAAAGGATAATGAAACTTTTAGACCCTTGAGCCACGTCCGAAAAATGCCTAAATTTTTAGTGTTAGACTATGTGATATGCTTAGCTGTATGACTACCTGACAAGCCAATTACTACAGAATCTACAGAAAAATCACGTACCTCTTCTCGACAAGAGTCTCGATCACATGTAAGTTCTGGTCCACACCAACATTCCAATCCAACCCACCTTGCCGGAGAAGCACACGCGTGTACTGTACCACTTTAGTAAAGTTTGAGATCAATTGTCAAGTAGGCAGATAATGCAGCTCCTCACTTTTGACAGGAGAATGGACAAATGATCATGTCTTATCGCAAGCGCTGGCGCCTTGAATGAGGATGCATTCCTTCGCTGACTGGCATTTCCTGTAGGAAGTTCTGAATGACACTAAACTATGGAACACCTGCCCCGGCCAGATTTCCAGCTTCCCAACTTTGCAAAATCCACTGCCGCAGACAGACTTTGCAATCATAATACTCCGGCTTGCTCAAGCTTACTGCAAGGGGAGGTGTAACCGAATATGCAGCGAGCATGATTGGCAGGGCAATACTAGTGAGTGCCGCTGCCATTGATAACTTCTTTCTGTAGGCACTTTCAGTGTATCTGGATTTTTGCAGGTATCTGTAATCCCGCTTGGACAAGTCATTCCTGTAAATCCAGCTTCATTTAGCTCTTCCAGGGAAACCACGAACAAATCACCACATCTGCATGGGTACGTGTACTCTGCTGCCTGACCTTCTTCATCTTCGTGAATTTCCATGTCTTCGATATAGACCTCTTCCCCAATCACTTTCGTGCTTTCTTCCTGCTGGTGGGCTAGTCTCTGTGCAGATAGGAATCGGTCATATGTGGCCCGAGAGTCAGAATCTCTAAGGACTTCCCACGCCTTTTGAACTCTCAAAAACTGCTCTGCTTCATTTGACTGTTCTCTAGAACGGTAGGTTGCGGAAAATTCCGCGCCTATCTCTCGTATCCTGCGATCAACATTACCAGATGAACCTAAACTAAAACGACCATCGTCAGCTGAATTCCAACTCTTGGCACCTTCCGCAATTAAACAGCTGGAGGGAAACCTATCAGGGTGGAAAGCAAGGACAGCTGCACGGTACTTTGCGCGAATTTCAACATAATCGGCACTCGGATCGACTCCCAGCACTTCATAATGAGACGATGACAATTCATCCGATCGACCTCCCATGATGGAGCAAACCCGTCGCTGGGTGATATCTTAGGGTTTTTGGTATCGACAGGCCCGCGCTAAAATTCCCATCGACTCAACAGACAGCCATGTATCCGATCAGCTGCGCAGCTATGGCAATGGCAAAGTTACGCGAGGAAAAACCCTGTCCGCAAGAGACATCGTTCGTTCTATGGAATCTGTACACTTCTGATGAAATGAGAGCTTCCCTGAAGAGTCTCGTCTCGTCTCTATAGAAGTCCGTTCAGTCTCGACCTCAGCGTTGATTTCCGGGCTTGCGAGGCATCTCCATCTGTTTGTTTTTCTCAGGAACCTAGGCGATGTCCGATCAATGCAGTTTCCGGCAGAGCAGTACAATCAATGGGCTCTAATAAAAATCAACAGGAAATATATAGCAGAAAGAACAATTGGAGTCTACTCTCTCTCTTAGAACTGAATAAGAAGTGAATAGCCGAAGTAAAAGGTTATACCATCAACACACATGGATGAAACCCAACGATCAATTTGGGGTAGCCCAAAGAAGAACACAATGGTGATTATTTTTAGATTTGAGAGCAAGTAGGTATTGTCTAGAACTCTTTCTCTTCTCTACATGACATTAGCTACTGTTCTATGTACAGAATTGCAAACCCATTGGCTACAAATGCAATACAATAAGTCACAGAGAGTTATATAGAGACTGATATTTATTGATAATAAAAAAACTTGTAAGTAAGGAATTTCATCAAGTTGACTGTACTTGTTCCACGCTCATTTACTTATTGTTTCTCCAAACTGTAGTAAGTATAGATTTGACTTTTGAAAGAAATGACATCTTCTATTGAATCTCATCAAAGATTGCTAGGAGAGATGTTTGTGAAGTTGTTAACTATCAAAATCCCATTGCTTCAAGTTATTAAATTTGAAAGATTCATGCCTTTTTGTTTGTAAAAGAGTGGATTTTAACTATCTCAGCGTGATGACTAATCGAATCTTGCTTGGTCAGGAAATTTTGTTTGTCTTAAGAGTCCAAGACCTTGTCTTGGACTATTTCCATCCTTGTGCTTTGTAGTCCTGTGGAAGTCTATGGCTTACATATACTTGTTTAGCTTTACTTAGCCCTTGGAATTTAGTATACACTTCTTCCACAATATAAATATCACACACATAACTTTACTCAAATGAGCTGATTTACAAACATTAATTTACTCTGCTTCCTATTGAACTAACTAAATATCCTCTACACACACAACTGGCTCACACCATCATGTTGCGTAGATTAGGAGTAGAGAGTAGTTCAGACGATGCTGTAACAGTTACATCAGACGGCATAGCCCATGAGACCGATTCGCCTCAGGCGGTTGATATCCCAGACTTGCCATTGTGAATAAAGAGGCCCAAGGCTCTTTCCTTGGGGGGCTTTTCTGCCAATTGGCTTGTCTTGATTGTGAATCTGTATCCGCTGTGTATGTGCGCTGACGTGTGATCCAGGCTTGAGGCGCGGTGCGCTCCTGTTTGTCGAAGTTACCGCATCAGGAGTTGTGAGTATTCGGCTCGAATGTCCTCAGCAGTCGAGGCTCCTTGGGATTTAAGCAAATTCGGATCTGAGTATTCGGGTCAGTGAGTTGAGATGTATGCGATGCAGGGAGGTTTTCCCCCTGAAATATAAGTGTGGAGTTGCAAGCGATTCCTACAGGCGTTGTTTGGAAAAGTTTCAGGTTGCGAGTGAGGTTATGCACTACTCTGCGGGTCTTTGGCTCTAGTTGGGTAGTTTCTTCTGGGAGTGGCATTGGTCTAAGAAGTGAAACTCTTTAATAGAATGCTATTCTGTGACAAATCGTGACTTTTGTGGTTGTTTATGTCCTCGTGGGGACGGATCTGTACCATTATGCTCCATTTTGGTATTTGTCCGTCATTACAACATATGTGGAAAAAGTTGTATTTGTATACAAGCAACCAGTATTTACAAGATGAGGGATCTATATCATATATTTTGAAGTTTTCAAGAACTATCCAGTACATTTCAAGAGTTATGTAGACATTTCAAGAATCGTTAAAACTTTACTTTTCTATATTTCTATTTCTAGAAGTTTGTAAATTTCAGTTTTATAAAGATTTTTCCATCTTGGCACATATTATCACCTTCAGGAACTTGTCAATGACAGTGATATGTGGTGACTTCTAAGCATTCTGATTTTCTGTTTTTGCATGTTTTGATAGCTATTACGGTATCACCAAGCTTTTTTCCGTTGTATATTCTTTACTCTGAGTTTGATGCCGTTTGGAGTTGATCCGAGGATGTGTCATGGTTATAACATGGGTTTGACAGTTCTGCATTATACTTTGACTTGTTTGATACATAATTGCAATGGGTCGATAACGTATGTCCAAGTTCCTCTAGTTCTCCATTATACTTTGACTTGTTTGATCCATAATTGCGATTGGTTGATAACGGATGTCCAAGTTCCTCTAGTTCTGCATTATACTTTGACTTGTCTGAATCATAATTGCGGTTGATCGATAACGGATTTAAAAGTTTCTCTAGTTTTAGATTATACTTTGACTTGTCTTATCCATAATTGTGGTTGATCGATAACGGATGTCAAAGTTTCTCTAGTTCTGCATTATACTTTGACTCGTCTATCCATAATCGCGATTGATCGACAAGATATCCAAGTTACTATGGACATGACCAAGAAGTTTGATCTCATTTTTCTCAATTTCATCATTTGTACACTAATAAACTAAAGTTTTCAAATTGACTTCTGTGGATAATATTCTACAACAAGCACATTGTTTACCAATTTAAGCCAATTACATTTGCTTTCTCTAGCTTTTTCAAGTTGCTATTACTCCAACAAATTGCATCCCCTTTAGGTCATAACGAAGGACACGGGAGGAAATCATGCGAGTGAGACTCAAAATCGACTATTCGACTTTATAGATTTCTCAAGCATTCAATATTTCACTAAAACATTCAAAAAGTTTACTTTGTATGAGAGCCATTGACTGCCACAATGAGCCAAAAAATGCATTCTCAAGGTCTTGTGCATTTACTCATTGATTCTTGTTCAATGCGAAGACGCGTGAAGAGATTATCGGTTTCACGTGTGAAGTTTAAAGTTCATTTTGGAGAAAATAGCATTTGAAAACCACTGAACACAACTATACGCTGACATTGCTAGATAATGGTCAGGTGAAGGTCCAGATCATGTTGGAACATGATCACTACATGCGTTTCCTTTAGATACACAATTCATCTGAAATTTCACTTGGTACTCGATTGCTCTCACTTACTTGGCAGGTGAAGCAACAAAATTAAAATATGTCTCAACATGCAGTTCAACACATCTATGCACTGAAAAAAATTAAACCTGTTTGACAAAGTCCATCGAGGCACATATTATTATCTTCAAGAACTCGTAATGGCCGTGATATGTTGCGACTTCTAAGACTTTTAAATTTTAGTTTTTGCATGTATCATAGAGCTTTTTTCTTTTTATATACTTTACACTAAGGATGAAGTGAGTAAATTCTAGGCAAAAATTGATCTTTGTGCGTGAGTGATTGATTGGAAAATCCAATTTGACATTTCAAGATGCAATGACATCAACATGAAGTTGTGTTTTAGCAAAGGTCCTCAAAAGTTAACGTCATCACGTTGATGGGCGTGAGATTTGGCCATTTTGCGAATCAAATCCTACTAGAGAGTTCCGAGCGCAACAATGCGCTCACGGGATCTGCAATACGAGAGTTTCAAGTGGAGCCTTGATGCACTAGGCGCATTGATCGCTGAAAACACTCCATAGAAAGAAAACCGGGCACGATTTGTACTAAAAAGATCAGTAGAAGAAGGTCCTTGATAGCACATATGCAGTAAAACATGATCAACAAATTCTACTCGAGACAATCGTCAATCTTTGTGGTGGTACAGTTTTTTTGTTTTTTCGGAAATAAAGCATTTTTTGAATAGTAAGTACCGTGGTAGTAACTGTGGATAAGAATTGGTAGGTAAGAAGAAGTAAATAAGAAACGAGAGTAGGTAGAGAGGAAGAGCTTCCTCCGAAGGCAGGTAAGGTGCCTTGAGTGGGGGCGGTTCAGGCTTTAGGGCTTTGCTCCGAAGGCCTTCGTCGCTAATGCCTTTGGCGGAAGCGCCTTCTACGGTACGCGGAAGAAGGTCTCCTTTGGAGAAAAGCAGAGTTATTATGAATGTCGATGTACAAGTGTGAGAATCTGCACGACGGCGGGGCATGAAGTCGCGCGTGGGAAGCAGGCCATTACACATCATCGCGGGAACGGCATTCAAGTGACCCGTTGTCGATTCCAAATGTCGATCTTGACGATTCTTGATGGACAGAGAGGGAGTCTACTCGCGCATTATTGATTTCGCACCTACCCGAACCATCGACGCGCAGTGACAACATGAGCAAGTAGCAATCGAGAGGAATTTGATGGGCAAGTCCGCGACATTGAGGATGATACCGTTGCGGGTACCGCAAATCGAATTACGGGCGTTTCAAGACGAATTGCAGGCAGTGTGTGGTAACCCACTTTTGATATTTATGCGGAATTTAAAACATTTTTGGAAAACTGTACCGCAGCAGCCGTGTAAATAGCGATCGGTACATTTAAATAGAGTGAAACTAGATGATCTCGAAGAATCTCGTAGAATCTCGTAGAATCCAGGAGTTGGGCGCAATGTCCGAAACAGGCGCCGCCCTTAACGATGGGCTCTGAAGGAGCTCCCCTTCGGCGCAAGGCGCATAATCCGCCTTCGGCGGTACGCCTTCGGCGCTAGAGGGATCCCTCAGAATCTTTGCAATTCCCAAACGCCTTGACTTGGTTAGGCTCTCGTTGGAAAGAGCTTGACGCGCTGGTTCTAACGAGCCCAAGAACGCCCGGAACGGATCAAGATCAAGGGAGTTGTGACGGTCGAAGGATACGAAGACTTTCGCCTACGCGTAGGCGAAGGAAGTTCGCCTATGCATAGGCGAAATGAGTTTGACGTCGGCGGAAAGTCCGCCGAGAATGCCGCCTACGCATAGGCGATGAGGACTTGCACCTACGCATAGGCGGACGGAAATCGCCTACGCATAGGCACTTCGTCGTCGGCGGGAAATCCGCCTTCAGCCCTAGAAATCCGCCTTCGGGGTTGGAACTTGTACGGCGCCTTCGCATCACGGTTAGGTGAGGACCCAACGGAGTCGCGAATCCGTACGGACTGTACGGACGGAACGGACAAGTGCGCCTTCGGCCGGTTGGGATTTCAAGAGCGTTGACGGAGAGGTGAGAGAGATGGACAGACTGGAT